AAGCTGGTTTACTAACTTAGAACAAACGCCACTGAATCGTAGCCAACAGTTACCAGCTCCGTACAAACGACTTATTGACGAGATCAAGCAAAACTAACTACGAGAGAATGACAATTTGACTAACAATAGACGACTGTTTAACTGTGACAATAGACGGATAGAAACGCACCAATTACTGATTACGAGTCTTCATAGCCAATAACATCACGGCTTAACTGACAGACGACCAATAACACCGCGACGTAATTGACCAATCAAATCAATAACCAGAGTATAATACCATCACCTGACGTGACACAACTCACTTTGACTCTGAAGATGACTACCACACAGGTTGTCGAAACGTCAGTCACTGTCAACATCAACAGTCCTATTCAGGACTACGTTTACCCGGACGATCAAACTCAACCTACATTTGAAAGTACTTACAGTTGAAATATACAGTCGTACAGTCAATATAGAAAAAATATCGATTTGCTTGAACAGGGGCTGCGAGGAATCGGTATGTAATGATGACGTTTCTATTGTTTGCGCCCGGAAGTACGAAATGGTTAGGGTGACGTAAAGACAGAACATCCCTAAGAGACCGCTTAGGTAGATTTTGTGACATTTATTGTGCAGTCATACTTCGACACACTTTTGCGTTACGTGTTATCAGTGACATCCTGTGGAGCAGTTGTTTCAGTGAAAGTTATGGACCAAAATTTTAACGACACTCGTTAAGCGCAGAAGAAGTTATAAGGTGCGTGTAACTGTGTATATGTAAACACTTGGAGAGTTTGCAAAGAGTTCACAAATCTTTCATTCGAAACCTTGCCAGACACTCCTCGGAATAAGACTCAGCCCCAAACAAGCAAGACGAGTGAACAACGGCTAGCTTGTCACTAGCAGAAAGATGGACGATTACAGAAATTCGTAGCCTGCGAGAACATCCGTTTCTCCTCGTTCTTCGCCGCCGGGAACGTTTCGCGAGAAGGAACGTCTGCGACTCAGCGACAGAAATTCCATACTGATGACGTAAAATCTGTCCGGAATCCTGTCAGAAGCGCTGATTGGTCGACGGATTAGTTACATTGTTTTAGCCATTGTTTACGAATGACAGACAAAAGACAAAAGGCCACAAAGGTGAAATGTAAACGCGAAGAATCTCTAACAAAACAGTCAATATTTCTGGAATATAGTCTTCTCTAGAAGAAGCGTTTGAGTTTTGCTGGAGCTCGTTGGCAGATGAACACAACACTTCACGAAAATCAACCAGAAGACATGCAAAATTGGACAAATTTATATTTGGAAGCCCATGACTACCGGATTCATTATGTAAACATCGATTTGCGTCATCAGTATGGAATTTCTGTCGCTGAGTCGCAGACGTTCCTCCTCGTGAAACGTCCCCAGCGGCGAAGAGCGTAGTCTGCTACACAGCCGTTTTTAGTGTCGTCACGCAACTCTCCTCCCCACAAACGGCCGTTTGTTTGCGATTCTAACAGTAATGAAGTAAAAATACTGGAATTTGCTCTTCCTGAATGTTTCTGGAAAGTTCTTGCCACTCACTCTTTTAACTAATGTCCCATCTTCATTCTCCAAACAGGTGAGGCAGGTAGACTTGCGCGACTTCTAGAGACAGGAAAGTACACTAATATATACCTGGATTTTTGAAAAAACCGGGTTAGCAAAAAAATCAACTCATTCTACTACTTGGCAATTTAAAACAATGAAAAATCGTTCAATGGCCGATTAAAAGCCTGTATCTGACGTCGGGAAGTAAGTTGGTGATCCCTAGATGAATTTCACCAAATCCAAAGTTAAAATGACGCAAATGTTAGAACAGTTGTTCAGTAATCTGACCGGTGTCATTTCAGTCAAGAAATTTTTAAGTTGAGTGAAATACAGTCAAAATGTGTCTGGTTAGGGCTTACATATCAACTTAGATAGCTAGCAAAACACTTTTTCCTCGGGCCGATAAATGACAGGATTTCGCATGGAATAGATAACAAACATTGAAACATAGTACTAGCCACTGAAATTATCACCTTCTGATCTGCAAAACCGGTCCATGGTTCAAAGCCAAGTACCCGCTGAAGCTAGACCTAGATCAATTTTCCTGAGTCGAGAATTGGTTTTCTAAGGCACGGTCACCTAAGCTTAAACACCGACGAAGCGTTTTTATGCCCGTTACAGATCAGACGACATTTTATTGCTGCAACAGTTCAACCGCGCGACCATATTGCTGGTTTTCAGTGTCGCGCCATCCAAAATAGATCAAAATAAAAATCAAAACCATTCGACAGATAAAGTCCAGAATCTGAGAAATAAAAGGACGTAAATATACAAAGACCCTCGCCAAAATTTGGGTCGAAGAAGTAACTCGTAGACTAGATATCCGAGGAAATGTTTTACCCAAATTTATAGAGCTTTGTATGGAGACGCCATGCTGGAGCTCATCCGGATGAGCTCCAACATGGCGGAAGGAAACCAACAGAAACATCTGTTTCCGAGTTTTGCTACAAAAGCGTGAATTTACTCCTAAAGGAACTCATAAACATCAAAGTAATACTTTTTCTAACACTTGAACTGTTTAGATAGCAAAATTCCTCGAAAAAAATCACTTTTTTAACCTAAATGACAGCTCTCTCGGCCGTCATGTAAATGCTGCGTCACGCAAAAGCTTAGAAATTCTAGCGTGCTCTATTACAAAACCAAGAACCCTTTTGAAGCGAAAATTTGTTTGAAAATTAGTTTTCAGCTGCTCTAACACACCATGAAAGTAAAATCTCAGTAGGATCGGTAGTTTTGTAGTTTGAATTTTAGTGACGTCATGTGAAAACCAACAATATACCTGTGAGTTCTTCCTGTCAACACCATCCGGAAGTCACACAATCATACACTTTCGAGGCAATGATAAGACTATCTACAACCACGCATAATCTTTTCTCGTTCAACGCAACTCAGGCCTTTGGCAGATAAACACCTCTACACATTTCTCTTACACTCGCATACTTTGCATCACTAGAGCAACCGGAAACATCATGCAAATCGTCCCTTATGGATAGAAGTCCGTGTCTACCACATTCACATTCTTGTATCTTTTTTTAACTTTGTTTATGTTAATGTGTAATTATCTCGAGTTTCTACCAATTTATTTTTTCCCTAGAGTTTTTTAAGTAATAATAATTATGGTAATAATAAATTATTTCACATCAGGGCGGTCCTTTTATGGGTCTAGGATCCTGTTTGCACTTGCACTTACTTTTTTTGTTGTTTACTTATTGACATGTCTGTTTGCTAATTCACTCCGTGCAAAGATTGCAGTATTGCCCCAATTTTAAAAGTGTTTGAAAAGTCTCCTGACGCTTAATGAGAACGCGGGTGTGTCTCAGAAAATTACATGGGTTTTAAAAGGTATTCGCAATGATGAAAGGGATAAATGTACCAAAGGCGCGACACGAACGAATAGACGGTTAAATTCAGGGAGCGTTGGGAAGATGTGGGCAGATCCGGGGAAGTCTCAGAAGTCTGACTGCCCAACTTTAAAGTTTGTTGGCGAGGACAGGTTGATAGTCTTTTCTTCCACTTGGAATGATGGGTTAGGATAAACGAAATAGACCTTTCCACGTGTTTTTTCAACTTTTGACAGGAACAAGTTAGCGAAAATCCGCGGCGACACCACTGGAAAAAGCTCCTTAAAATTAGTAAAATTTCCAAGTTTGAGAGTGATTTATTAAAAAAAAAACAAAAATAATTATAGCTCCTCAAAGTCGCGAAATTTTATTTGCGGACGTTTGCATGGTGGAGGATACAAACTTGCCCCTGACCATACAACTTTGGTTAGCTATATCTTCGCTCGCTTAAGACGTATCGCTTTCAAATTTGGCAATTTTACTAATTTTAAGGCGCTCTTTTCAGTGGTGTCGACAGATGTTCCCAAACTGGCTCATGTCAAAGGGTCTATTCAGTAAAGGGCAACGTAAGGGTAAACAGATCCGTTCTCTTAAATTCCCCGCTATTAACTACATCAGACATCGTGGCATTTCATTCAAATACTTTATTGATAAAGCAGGAGATTAGACTCCAGGTTTTGAATAAAAGAAATGCTTGGTTTCTTGCCTGGTGCCGTCTCTCTCCTTAAGGTTTGCATGATCGTCTTATTTTTACTTAGAATAAAGTGAAATTACGAATAAGAAAAGTAAGCGTTTCACACGTGATGTAGGATTCAGGCAGCGGCACTTTCTTCACCACCAGTTTCTTCCATCGGTTCCACTCCAGCTCCTATCAAAATTAAAGAAAAGAAAAAAAAGAGTAGTTACTCACGGTGTAACTTAATTGAGCAATACATTATTTTAACCGAGGTTGATTATTTGAACACATCATAGACCATTTTACAGTTACAGGCGAAAACGAGGCTGGAGTTGACCATACAATACAACCCTTCCTGCTTGCTATTTAAATCCTGATGTTTTTATGCTAACTAGGACTTTTCTTAGCAGAATGTTAATTTCCATAAGAAAAGGAAAGAGGTTTGTGTTAAAACAAGGTCAACCCCAGCCTCACGTTCACTCAAAGGCTAGGACACCAAGCTCACAAGTGTAAAATGGTCTATTATCATATGCTACATTTCCATCCTCTTGGTCAAAAGCAGTTGACACCAGCAATAAACATTTTAAATTAAAACTGATTTGCAACACTTGCACATCATCAAAATGTAATCAACTTCTTCCATGAGCTGTAACTTGTTCTGGTAAGCTTCTCGTTGTCATAAAATATCATATATGTCTAGAAATCCTGAAGTTTTTGACAGAACAGTGAACGCCTCCAGGCGTCTCGTTTGTGTAACTTTCTGTACCCTGTGAGCGACTGTGAGTAAGCTCTCACGTTGCGTTAACTCCCTAACTCATACTCGTAATGCGTTTCCGTTTGTCAAACACGAGAGAAAACTCTTCAAGTGTAATAATCGTACCCCAGTAGTCTACAGATGTAAGATGAAAATAAATAGAATATATCAGAAATACTGGAAATAGATAAAAGTTACCTTGACTGAATTCTTTCAGGTCAACGTAATCTAGGTCTGCACAGTCAACCACCTCTTGGCCGCTTTCTAATGTTTTGAATACCCAAGGCTGAATGCGGGTGGCACCGTCAAGATTGTCGCACATGACTCTAGCCATAGTAGCTTTTCTTATTTCATCCAGCTGTGTGAGCGTAAAGGCGGTCAAGTGGTCATCTCTCTCGTACCAAAAGCGATCACCAGAGCGAAACTTTCCCATCTGCTTTAGTATAATATGGGTATTTACGCTTCCAAGCACGCTTCCGTCCATGGGGTTCTCTGATATGGCTGCGGGAAAACAATCAATATCTTTGACATTTTTGTATTCTTCCTTAAATTTTGCAAGCTGCTCTGGAGTGAAACTACCCAAAAGGTCATCAAAAGAATTCACAGCTCCCAATCCAAGCACTTCTCGATAATGGGCGTAACCTGGTAGGCCATGGTCCCGACCACGCTGAATATTGATGGCCATGAGATCGCCAAAGATATTGCCTTCAATGACGAGTCGCTCGCGTATAGCGTTCACAAAGATACTATAAAAGGAATGAGATTCTATTATATTAGAGAAATCATCTTTCTAATACTAAGCGTCTACATTAAGGAAGGAGCAGTTGTCCACAAACAATGACTAAATCAAGAAAGTTACAAGGCCATCTGGGGACTAAAAATAATTTTGTACTTAAGTCCGATAGTCAGTTCAGTGCTTGTTGCAGCTGATTTAACAAGAAAATTTGAACTTAAGAACGCGTTACCTGCATGACTTTTCGATGCTTCGAACATCATTATCAAGAGTGTGAAGTTTCAAAGTTGTAAAAGAGGTGTAGTTTGAATAAATGAGATTGCATTCGTGCGTGCTTCATTGTTATGGGTGGATTCATTTGCAGCATACGGGTATATACATCGCATTTGCCCGTTTGAATTTTTTATTGTTTTTGAGCTTTAAAAAAAAAATTCCATTGGGCAAATGCGACGGGTATACCGTTGTATGCTGCAAATGAATGCAGCCTATGTAAATGTATTTAATAGAAAAGCTTGGCGCGAATCGAATCCGATTGCATGTTCAGTGATGGTTTGAGTTTTTGTATAAATAGCATCTCGTAGAGGACCGAAAAATTGTCCGTGAGGGTTGGCTTCTCGACCCCATGTTCTTTCACATGATGTGCCTTCCGATCAACGAGTTGAGCTTGTGTGTTCGCTGATGCGTGGATGTAGGTGTCGATTAGTGAAACCGACATAATCCATGTCACATGATAGACCACATTAGAAAAATTTAAGTGTGAACAGAAGCCCTATCCGGTATGGTTTTCGTGCCGACGCAAGAGCTATTTATAGATATAGTGTGAACATAGCGGTAGGCTATGTTCACACCATGAGGGAGTCATGTAGCGTTGTCATGAAAATTTAACCATATGAGACTATTAAGATTGTATGACACAAAAGGGTATGATGGAGTATAAAAGAACATAACGTTACACGGAAAGAATGCCAAAAAGGGTCACCATCAAACGATGGGAGTTTGAACTTCATGCGGGCTGACTGTGAAGACCTTTGGCGAGAGAGGAAGCTACAACTGCAGTCTTGGTTACATGGATCCGATATGCTTGGGTCAGGAAATGGACAGGGCAGTGCTGGTGTGTTGGTAGCGTGTTGCGTCAGTAAAAATACGACACTGCTGGAGTTAGAGTCCTAGGGACCTAAATCAAGCCCAGTCTAAATATCATTAAGGGTTAAAGAGCGCTATACTTACCGATCAGGAGTCTGAGCCTCTAAAAATATCAGCCCGAACAAAATTCTTGTAAAGACGCTTTGTTCGTTTTTATTAAAAAACCTATCTGGGATGAAGAAGTCAACTGGCTCAGCAAAACGAATGTCTCTAGGCAGGGACCGATCAGATCCTCTAAATCGACTAAAGGTGCCGTCGGCTGATCTCAAATCAAAAACGGCGCGAATTAAACTGTGACCCATTCTCAGGGCGCATGTAGAGAAAACGTTGGTGCATTGCACATTCACTTCGGGGTCATATCCAGTGAAGAATTTTCCTTTAGGTTTTAAAAGAACGCCAAATTGTTTTCTCTGAAAAAGAAACAAAAAAACATTTTTAAAATGCGCTCTCTTGTGTTAAATGTCGGGGCAAGGATGACGCAAATAATGTGTGTGCTCTCGCCGATCAGTTATCAGTTAAGTGGCCGTTGAGGCCCCCTTAGTTTAGACTCTGTTTAAAATGAGTTAGAGCTCAACATACGTGCACGCTGGGCCAAGCATTAGAAGAGAAAGAAAGAAATAAAAGAATAAATGATTGCAAAGGTAAGAATCATGCAAAATGTCACTTTGACAACATGACGCATTTATCAGTTCCTAAGTAAGAGCATTTTTAGCGAATCAGTAAAATACTAGACAAAGTGCAAATGTATTTCATTTTAAAGCGAAGTTAAAATTTAGGAACGAATTCCTCCGTGAGAGTTAAACTATTTAAACTTTTTAAAATGATTTTAAAATTTACTGCGGTTTTTGTTATTGTAACAAAAAACTTATTGTCTGCACTGGTCAACATTTCTTTTTTTGGCATTGAACTGACAGTCACACAGTGACTCTTTTTCAGTACGAAACCTTTTTCGAAGAACGGTTAAGGTAAAATTAAACTTAAAAACATCTCAAGAATATGACTAAAGCTGAGATTTATAGCCAAAACGTTATTTCAAATAACATAGTAGAGACTGAATTAAGAAAAAAAAAAAATTCAAATTCAAAACTTAAAAATTTGAAATTGGTTCACCGGTTCTTAAGTCTCATCAAACTTTGGGTCTCCCAGGAAATTAATTTCCCATTACCCATCACGTATGCTTTTAGGGAAGTCAAATTCTAAACCACAGTACGTTCTATCAGTTAAATTAATTAAATGCCTAAGAATATTTAGTGAAATGATTATCAACAGAAGAACAAGTTAGTTCAAGAGGCCGTAAGAGCACTCATCATAGGTGCTGATATAATTAACGTACTTTGATAAAGTTCTTACCAATTCTTTACTGGGGAATAATACTGGAAGCCACTCATTATAGGTGATATGCTGAAGCTCTGCTATTACAATCTTACGCGCCTCTTGAAACAGTGTCTCGTCATCCGCGTAGGGACGGAGTAGTTTAAGGTTTGTTGCAATACGGTTGTGCTCGCGGACCCACAAAGTGTGCATCGCCATAAGAGCTGCAATAAAATTACTCCACGGTTATTCCTTTATGCTGATTAAGAGACGAGTTTTGAATGAAAATTTAGAATTTGTTAGTTAATTACTATAATACTGTCCAGTTTCTTACCAGTTTGCATCTATCTACGTAGCGCATCCAATTGCAATTATCCTCTAACAAATATGTCAATAAGGTAATTAGACTTGTTTAATTAGTTTTTTTTTTACGTTTGAATGCACCGGCTTTAATAACATTCCTGCACACATGGGCTTGCTTCCTTCGCCGATTTTTTTTTTGCTCCGCTTTACTCGGGAGCCTGTTCGCAGGTTATATTCTAAGTGAGCGCCTTGAAATGCTACGCGTACATGTCAGTCAAACCTTTCTTGTTACAGTACAAATTGTACCTGAGGTATCTAGTTTCATCGATCATAAATAGGTACAGTCGAACCTCGCTATTTTGAACTCGGTTAATTCGAAGTCCCCGTTATTTCGAAGGAAGATCGAAGGCCCTTGGATTTACCCTTCCCTTTTTCGCTTCCCCGGTTATTTCGAAGATCCGCTATTTCGAACTTTTTTCCATTTCCCTTGGGACTTCGAAATAGCGGGGTTCAACTGTACTTTGATTTAAAGGTCATTTTAAATTAGTTTAGCCATATCTTGCCCTTTTCCATTCTATCTTATCTCTGACTTTAGTTTTCTTTTCATTCATTCATTCATTCATTCATTCATTCATTCATTCATTCATTCATTCATTCATTCATTCATTCATTCATTCATTCATTCTTTCTCCCTTTATCTTTAATAAGTAGTGATTGTAAATGAATCAAACGAATACAAAGATGACAAAACACACAAAACGAATTATGTGTCTTGGGCGGCACTTTCACTGATACTATTTTAAATAATATAACTGTATTCTTTTGACTTGAATTTTGATTGGTGATTTGAAAGATTTTTAAAAAGCGAACGTCGTTTCTACCTTGATTTTCATTGACTCGAGCATCGCCAGCAATAAAGCAAGGTTTTTCTTCTGGATTGCCAGATCTACAGAAAGCTTCCTCATTAGCATCAGGAAGTCTTGGTAGGCCTCCAATGTTTCTCAGTGGCACCGTATCTAGAAGTCCATGGCCTTTGGGACTTCGTAGCTGTTTAGCTAATTCATCGCTTGATCCGTACACTTGTGACCCGTCAACATAAGCGGTAATAATATTTATCTGAAATAATAAAGACGTTATTGGTATAAGAGATTCAAATGAAAAATAAAATTAACAATTATTAGACGAGTTTGAGTACTGAACATATTAATAAATATAAATAAACTCATGGACTGGAAGCAATCTGCCTTTTTAACGGAAGAGCGATTGCAAGGAGGAGAAAAGCGTGGTTTCATTTACACATAAGCAAAAGATTTTTTGCAGCCAAACACGGTTGGACGACATTTCGCATGAGAAGACCATTATTTGTTGGCAGTTATTTGCAGGTCACGTGCTGGGCTCTAGGCAAATGAAAAGGAATAAAAATTTGCATCGAATGATAATAGTGTATGCTTTGCGAGTAAATAAATCTTTTCCATGGACTCTGAGTGTCATTCAAACCCTGGAGTCTTTTGTTAGTGCCATGTGATACTGCAGATGATTACCACGTTTTGGATAGCCTTATTTGTAAGATTAAAGTGGGAGCTACTGGTTTCGATACGTCTATTTCAACACCTCGAAGATGTTCGCCGAAACGGCAGCCAAGTCTGGCCTGTTTCGCTTATGCATAACTTTTACTCAAAACGTTTAGTCCTACTCTCACTCAAAACCTACTTTGTGTTCTATTCTTAAGGGTTCTCGCGTCTGGAAAACTTTCCCACTCTGGGAAATCCACAGACAGCCCAAACTCAGTATGAGAATTTAATTATTAACATGCTTCATGTGTGCTGATGCGAATTTAGCAATTTTTTATTTCTTCCATCGCTGTGTTTCCCCACCTAAAATCGCATCAGATCGGGAAAAAAACCACACAGAAAGCAAACAATAACTAACTTAATAAAGTTAAGCATTTTTTGTTGGAAATCCGGCGAGTATTGATCTTCTTGAATCTCTTACCTAATTTCCACTTAAGCACTTTAAGTTCAAGACCGTTTTGAGGATTACGCAATAGGATACCACACGCATTAATGATTAAACTCTCGTACTGAGCTTGGGCTGCCTGTGGGAAACCATATGAAATAGATGCTACTCTTTGTATCACTGGATATTTATGAAAAAGTTAAATACTCCACTGACCTGGTTACCATCTGGGGTTCTCACAGACCTGGGAAGAGGAATGCATTGTACAGAATCGTTAAATAACAGTTCTAAACCATTCGGGATTTTTATGTTAACACATTCAGGAATGACGTTGCAGGGTGCATTGTTTATCCCACAATCTAAGCCTTCAGGCAGCTCTGTTAAGGTGACGTCGTGATCTAGGAATTGTCCCCAGGTCATTGTCAGGTGGGTAAAATTCACAATAGTGCCATTGATATTCGCAGTATCATTGTTCTCCAAAGTTTCAGCGCTAACTTTTCTGGGATTTGCAAGTAGCTTAAAATCAACTCCCAAACTTCGTGGTGCTTGACTATCGGGACCTCCTTCATAGTCGGCTGGCAGTAAACGCTCCAGAGGTTGTTCCGCGGATCCCAGAGTTATGTTACACAGATTGTTGCATGTGCCGTCAAATGTGCGATACTTGCGTTGTAGGCATGCTAAAGCCGTTTTAAGGGGTGTTTCGCAGTTTGCTCTATTCTTCAGTATCTTCAAAACCAGTTTGGCTGCTGCATCAGAAGACGATGCTTGGCGTACTTCGTAAGTGCCAACAATAACAGCAATGCATAAGAGAATGCTGAAATGGAAACAAAGAGAGCGGAAATCTAAAATTAACCTAATAAGATACCTTAATCCTGCGACTAAGAACCTGCATTGTCCCAAGTTAGCCTACACAGGTTCTCACGTAAATGGTAATTAGTACAAATGTAGGCTATTTAGGTTGTTAAATAGGTTCTTATATTCTAAGGTAAAATACATTGTGCGGTATTCAGCTCATTCCTTAGGTAAAACCTGCATACAATTACAATTGCAGTTGGAGCCGAATAAGGCACTAATGTCTCCAAACAGGATATTTAATGTCGACTTACACTCTTAATATTTACCCACGTGTACAGAATTTTTTTTCATAGACTTTAGAAAATAAGAACCTGTTTCAAATTTTAGGCTAAACAGGTTCTTGTATAGAGAGGGCCTAATTGGCAAATTTTAACCAAACGGATTCAACCAGTTTCTTAGTCGCCGGTTTTTATTGTATTTGGATATGGCTTATAGCATTTTTAGGACTTCTTGTTTGATGGATCAGGACTATCACACTTTTTACTTGAAGCTTTTAGCTTTTAGCTTTCAGGGTAAAACACGCACACTTTTTACAAGTTTAAATTCCAAATTTGTGTTAAAGCCACTTTATTTTTTCGAAACACCTGGCTTGGATGGCTCTGAATAAGCCCTTTACGGATAGTCATTCACGTGGTACAAAACAGCCATGCTGGAGAGGAAGGGACGCACTGGAGTGAGACAAACAAAGCAAGTTACCATTTTACATGGGGCACTTTCCATTCAACCAAAACTTTCGAAAATTTGGAAACAGCGGCAATGGTACCGAAATTTCCGGAAAAGTTTCCGGAAATTCTTGAAACTGTTGAATTTCCGAAATGCGAACCATTCAACCGAAAATTCTGGAAATTCTGGGAGCAAAGTTGAATGGAAAGGAAACTTCCGGGAAAACATTTTCGAAAATTTGGGTATACCTCGCGAGGTTTTGCTCTTTTTTGGAAATTTTGGAAAATGCTGTTCCATTCGCTACTGGAAGTTGCCAAAAATTTCAAACCGGACGTTTTCGTTGAATGGAAAGCGCCCACGATGTACATGTACCCATGGCTGTTTTGTACAATGACTAACTGCAAAGGGCCTTTAACTCGCACCAATGCAATTTAACTTTGTGAATAGTTGAACTTTGGTATGCTGATTACACTTTGGCAATAATTAAAAATGTAACAGTGACTGGGAGTCATAAACGTAAAAGCAGTCAAGAATAAACTCAGCAAAGGATTCCAGTAGAAAGACTTGTAGACAGTCAGTGGTGCAGTTTCAAAAATACTGATCTTTTTCAGTTCCATTCTCAAGTGTCAGTTTTAAATAACAAAACAAAATTACGTTAATTAAGATTAAGATCTCTGAACTGTTGATGTGCCAATTTAGGTGGGCAATGAACAATTTACCATTTTCACATAGACCATAATGCACCTTGTTTTTCCCCAACATCTTGCATAACCAGTGTCTTGGATTTCCCCGGGACGACTGTTATTCCCCAAGGAGAAATTGGAAACAAGAGTTATGCAAAATTTTAGGGGCTAAGCAAGGTGCATTATGGTCTATGTGAAAGTAGTGAATTGATAAATTAGAATACAAGTCAAACTCACGTAATAAGGAAACTGAAGGGACCGAGCTATGTGTCCGCATTATTAACAACTGACCACATTTGTCTATAATTGGTTCTATTTATCAAATAGAATTTGGCCCAGTTATGGGGAGTGTCTGTTTAGTAATAGATCACAGGCAACTTCAAAATGTTGAAAATAGGAAAAAGGTGGCACACGAACCTCAGGCTTTTAATTACATCCTTATAAACAACTCCTTCTTAACATCTTTCGAGACCCTTACCAGTTGAATATTCGTAATAATCTCGATCGACGGCAACAAGAAAGATTCGCAAAACAACGACTTTGCACGTGCATGTATCCGACGCTCTTTGGTATGACGTTGTCGCACAAGCACGACTTGAAACTTTCTATTTTTACGTTATGGAAGATCCCCGCTGCCAAAAAAATATCTCGCCTGCATTTGAAAAATTGAACGAGATGGAATAAAAGCGATGAAGTCTTTCACTTTTTAAGTGACGTTTTCGCCGTCGAGCTTTTGGTATCTTGACTAACTCAAACTGTGAACAAAACAGTGCGCAGATAATAGCTTTCCGCTAACAAATAAGCTCCCCAGGAATCGCTTTGTCAGTATTGTGCCCGTAAATTAAAAAGTGATGTCTGTAAGAGAAATTTACATTAAACCGGGAAGATTTTTAAGCCTGTAAATGAAGGGACAAAAAAATGTTAGGTTTTCGAAGGCAGAGAGTGACTGTCGGCCCCTGAGTAGTTAACTATAGTTTCTTATATTTCTTCCCTGTGTTCCTAGGTGAAAGTAAAAAAGGTAGCATAATACCTTGTTGCTTTCATTTTCTCTTTAACTGCTTCTCCCTTTCCGACTGTTGAGACAAGAAAATGGATATTTTGATGAATCAGTATTGTCTTGTAAAATAATGCGAAACTTATTTGCACTAAGTGACATGCGCTGACTAAAATAATCTGGATCACTGAAATAATTTAAATAGAACCTATTAGGTCAAACAACGTGGCAGGAATCGGCCATTTGGTTACAATCATGGGCAAGGATTTAAACTCGCAGCGACCAAAATTAAAGTAAATCTAGCTCAATTGGTCATAGTGAACTGACCCTGAATCGCAGGACCACTGGAAAGCTAGTTTGACACTCTGACTATTCAGCAGAACGATTTGTTGAGGGCTAACAGACCTAAAATATCTGTTAAATGCTTTAAGACAACCGATGCATGGGTAAATTGAAGGTGTGAACAAAACTATACAAGATAAAACCTAACAAAGCTTTAAAAAGATTCTTTTTCAGACGACTCGTACGAGCGAAAAAGAGAATATCCTAATTGAGTTGAGTTTTCATCATTGATTTAAGAAACTAAACACCTTAAATTATTCTTGAAAAGAGACAACAACATCGATTACAACAATCTTTCTTCGTAAACGTTGACTCATTGAATAAAAAATTGCATAGTGCCTTCGTAAAAAGAGTAACGATTGCCGGTCTAGATTTAGTTCATGGAATATGCTTAAGTGCAATATTTAACTAAAAGTTGTTCAACTTATTTACCAACATTGATGGATATGATGTAAGAGAAAACTTTCTGAATAAGTACCTTATCGAAGCTTTAGTAGAGAAACCAAGATACTGCAGTCTAAGAATCCTTTGACTTGAGGCCTCGGTATCTTTTCTAGTGAGCTTGCTGCTCGCAGTGAAGTTATCTGAGCAACTTTCTTCCTTTTATATCATTTTTATCTGACTACCTCTTGTCAAGGCGGGGGGGAAGTCTCTCGGTGTCGAATAACCTCAAAAGCAATATTACAAAGGGTCTTCTTACCGCTTAAGCTTATATCTTTACTTACGTGAACTGGTTGCTATTTTCAGGTATACCTACGGAAACAGCAGAGGACTGTTAAAAGCAATATTTTGTTTATTCATTTGTTTTGTGACGAAAGAGGGGTATTAATGATCTTTAATCTTTTTTGTCTTTTCAAACAAACTCATTAGCCAATTGATATCTGCTGACACGCTCTTTTTTGATGGCGATTAAGTTGGCCGAAAAAAACTTGTTTCAATGGCGAAACAACTGAACGATATATTTTATTAATGAAACGATTTAACTTATTTGCCTTCTTACTTTTGCTAATTCGTTTGTCGACTTCGTCTTTATAACACCGCGTGCAAAAGGCTGTTTGTTTGGGATATTGGTACGAGGATTTGATATACAGAATACCGAGTTCAATACTAGAAGATATCGTTCATTGGAGGCGACACAGTTGAGGAAATAATGTTTAACGTATTAATTATCTTAACGAGTTTGACGTTTAAAGACACAATTCTATTGTCCCTTTAAACTTTGGCGCAACTGACGTTGACACTCCGGCAGAGGGGTAAGACGAACGTTAATATCTGAGTCGCGCGCGCGTTTTTGTTGACTCATTCAGTACCTCAAAAAATTGAGTTAAGAATTTAACGGGATACATTTATTTATTCACCTTAGTAATATGTCATGTCAGTAACTGTGCTCACATTGTGGGTGGTTAATCTTAAAATTTCTGCAATCTGTAGTTAATGGAGCGGGAAACCAGTATTTAATTGCATGCATTTTAGACATCCTGTTAATATGAACGGGTCACGACAATTATAGCAGGGGCAGTCAAACGACCGAATGATTCAAAATGCGTCAGAGGTGTCACAAATAGTTTTTCCATGCTTTAAAAAAAAAAAAAAAAAAGAAAAGAAAAAAAAAAGCTAGGTAACAAAATTCTGGGTAAGCTAGTAGAAAATTCAGAATATCCTAGACATATGGAACGCGGTCATCCGAACTTTTTACCCCCGAGCCTTACAAATATCTTGGGAAAAATGTTTGCTCCTCCGAAAGGTGATCCAGTCTACTAAAAACAAAGACAAAAAATTCGTGTCTCTGAGTTAGATATAGTTGCAGGAACAACAATCGCTTACAGACAATCAGCAATAAAGAAATAGAGGGATCAATAAGCCGCAGATATTGTGATCTTGTGATGTATAGAGCTATCACGAAATGTATACAAAGACAAACAGTCCTTATTGACGAGACAGTAATATGAGTTTATATGAGCCCTGTTCACTATTGACATAGATATAGACAACGAGTTGTATATTCACTAAGGTTGACCCAGGATCGGGAGAGCTTATAGGTCTCATGTAAACACTTACAGATGTACTTATGTCGAAGAGGTTACCGGGTTAGAAGGGTTTGTGGGATTTTGAAGCCATTTCGAATTCGTGTAAAAAACCTTCCAAACCCCCCAAGATAGTGATACACGCTTTAAAACCTTTTGAGGAAGTTCTTCTCTAAGTTTTTAGATCCGGATTAAACTTCTGTGATTTCTCAGCTTCTTTAACTTCTTTAATTTGCTTTGTAGTTTTCTTATTTAGCGTGCCATTTCAATTTTACCTGTTCTAATAACTTTGCTACATGTATTGCTGAAATAGTGGCTTCATTGTACAATGTATACGTACGGTGGTGAAACTTAACCATAAAATAATCCCCCTTTGTCGAAATAACTTTATGTTATTCATGTTATTGCCAACTAAAAGCTGTAAGAAGTTGGATGTATTTCTATTATCCTAACTTGTTTTCCTCTTTATTCTCACAAATGGTTTGTGGGCGATAACGGGTATAAATGATTCATGACCGACAAGTTATCGACGAGCAAGCAAATTATTTATTCAAAAACATTGTTGTAAGGTGATGAGGCAGATTTTAGCTAATTACAAAACCAATAGCTCCCCCACGATAGGCGGAATATACGCAATCTTTTTTTCCTGTTTCTCAATATCTCTGTATTAAGTGTTTAATCAATCGTATAATAACAGACCGAACTGGACTCGACTAAGTTCTGTGATGAAGAATTTAAAGGATCACAGTATTTTTTCATCAGCAGGGAGTTCGGGCGACGGGAAATGAGATCAATCATAAATTACAAGAGCCCCTTTTCTTCTTTAAATGCTCTAGCTACCTTCTCCAACTTATTTAGAAAACAAAACCCAGATTAACAATTTCAAAACAAATCGAATATATATTCTACATGGCCCAGAGGTCCAGTCCTTCGTCCTGATTCAGAGAAGGTGTCTTTGTTTGATTGTGATGTCCTCCTTGACGCGGCGCCTGATGCACACTGGACGCAGAGGAGTTATTTGTGACCTTAATTGTAGTTAAATTTTACAGTTGAGTATCGCCTCTGTTTACTGTAGAATCGAAGACGAACTTGACCTATCAAACCGTAATGCGATTGTGTTACAAATCTCGTGAAATATTTTCCAATGCTTGGTGGGAACGAACATCTTGGAAAGCGGAGCTTTCTGAGCGAGGCAGTTGTTACTCGTGGACAATCATTACCTTCAGCTGTTTTTCCGGAGCGTTGGATAATATTTACCAGGTTTGTAACGCGATCGCACAGCTGATCCAATGACGGTTTGTTCGATTCTGCATGCAGTATAGGGAAAGACAAAGGCGATGCGCGGTATCAACTGTAAAATTTAACTACAATCAACAATCAAGGTCACAGATAACTCGTCTGCGATTAGTGCTCGATGGTGTGATTTTCGTCCCTGAGTCTTAGAAATATGTTTGCTAATGTGCAGGAGCAGATTAAAAACCTCAACTTTCCCCGTTTAGAAAGAGAAAATTACGCCTGATGTAAGTACTACCGATAGAGATTTGAATAAACTCCTTTCGGTTTGTGGTTTTTCCTGTAATTGTTGTTACGGTTTTATTGGGCGTGTTCAAAATCCTTCTTTGTCTTCCCTGCCTACCGGAAGCCGGGGTGGGTTTATTGCGTAGGTTTGTTTCTATTTCTAAAACCAAGACCTCCAAGACCTCAAAACCTTTAAAGGCGATGTTACACGGGACGATTCGCAACGACTATTTTTAGCGTAACACAGCGTTGCAATGTTGGAACAGTGTTGCAACCATTTGAAACAATGTCGCAACAATGTTGTTGCAACGCTGTGTTGCGCTAAAAATCATAGTTGCGAATCGTCCCTTGAAACATCACTTTAAGACCTCGAAAACTGAACGGTTAATGCCATCTACTGAAAATTCACCAGTAGTAACTACAAGTTTTAGCATCACACCGGGTGATGATTGCTTGTTTGCATTTTTTTACATTTTATTATCCAGCAAAGTCCATTTTTCGTTCGAAATGCCAGAAACTAAAACGTCTATTCTATACGTTACGTAACACGATCTTCAACTGAAACGAAACAGGCAAACCAACTGATATATGGCACAATTACATGGAAATGACAATACTGGATTTTCATCTTTCTTCGTGAAAAATTCAAGAAGAATTATGTCGTTTCGCTGAATAATCTTTCCTCGGGCCTGGGGTAAAAAGGACTTTAACCTACTGTCAACCGGAAGTTTGGGGATGGGGGCTACAATGTTATTAATTACCTATGAAGGAAGGAAAACTTAGAGGAAAATGTAGCAAATGACATGAAGTGAATCCATCGTTATCTTAAAAATGTATTTGTCATATATTTCTATTTTTCGTTTCGCTTGCGGTGTCTTGCTTCGTCCTTGCAAACGAGTTTTACTTTCATTGTGATGCAACGTGTTTTTTAAAGATTCCGAACAAAATTGGACAAAATCTTGGAGGATAAAGAGATACTATCTTTCATACAAAGTGGGTTACCATATTTAGAAGCATTTTTATGCAACACTTTTTAAGGTCTTGGTTTTCGAGTTCGCCAGTTTTTTCAGCGGATTACGACGCAAAAGTCTTTGCAGGATATAAACAGCATTGGTCAGTTTTAAAAGCGATAACGAGCAAACCCGCCTCGTTACAGCGTCCAAGCAGTGTAAATGACGTTCCTACGTTTTAGTGACGTGTTTTTAGGAGGCTCTAGTCACGTGAGTGATCCAAAACAACTTTTGTGTAATGTGGATTACCAATTCGTGGCATTGACCAAATGTATAGGATCTCTGTTTTATTGGTCTTATGTCTTACTGGACGAAGCACTCGAGATATCGTCTTTTTGCTCAGTTTCATGGGGCTCTTATGTAAGTCACTTGTCGGTGATGTCCCTTTCAGTTATTTTACTAAGATATTGGTCTTGTAGGTGAGAAGTGGTTAGAAAGGATTAATGCCCGAGAAACAGATAAACTTGCAAATCAGTTATATAACGTGGTGCGGCAGATTTTGGCTATCGCTAAATACAGGCAAATTCAAAACCAATTATTGGTTACATAATATTTTTATGTTTCACAATATCAGTGAGTTAATATTGACCAGAGGGATTTAAGGAAATCAAACAATTTACTAAACTTCAACTAAAGTGTAAAACCGCAAATCAATGTGGTTAACGTTTCTTAGACGCAGGTAGTGTTGCTTCGTCTTCAGTCAGTGATTCTCAACCGAGGGGGTTAACCAGAGCCTCATTCACATCAAAACTTAAACATATTTAAAAGTTTTTTTTGGTAAAACATAGTTTAAATTTGTTCTTTAAAGCTGCTTACTGTACTTTTATCAATTGCACATTGAGTGCTATTACGTAACGTGTTCATTATGATTGAGTGTTTAAACTGAGCCGGGACTGTTCTAGTTTTTCGTCACCATAATTTTTCATTAAAAAAACAAACAAACAAACAAAACATGGATTTAGTATAAATTTGCTTGCATGTAAGTTATAATTGATTAATATTGTTTAAGTATTTTTTATTGTCGGTCGAAGATTGTTTATGGAACTGACAACTCAGGCGAGCGGCTTTCGTCCGAATCGATTGTGCCCTAAATTTCACAAAGTTGACAGGGTCAGATGCAATTGATGAACCAGTGACTCACTGTTTACAATACATAGTCGCTGTGTACCCTCGGTTTAGTTTAGTATACTGGATGCACCAGGACGTGGAAAAACTATACTGCACGGAACATCCAAATATCCTAAAAAATGTACGGATAAAGGTCTTACTACCGATAAACCGATTGAATCATCACGAGTAGAAGCGTCAATAGCCTACCCGAGCTACTTTGGGTGAGCCAACGTTTCCTAAATTTCCTACAAACCTTTGCGAACTGTTTACATGAGATCGAAACGAAAAGTTGTTTTGGCGGGAAGGAAGATTCGCCTGCCGTGTCTCCCCTCGATGGTAAGGTCACCTTCCGATCCGTAGGGCCAATTAACTAATTTCTCCGTATTAACACTATGGATAGCCCCAGGAGTGTCAAATCTGTCAATGATCAACGCGACTATATAAGACAAGGCGAAGCATGCGCGTAAGCTGTTGGCTCGGGACAAAGGTGTCAATTTTTTCTCACATTGTTAAATGCTCGCTAAAAATTGAATCGGCTGGGAGACACTGGGGACAGAGGCCTCTTTCCCGGGACAACCGTTTCTACATAAAAAGGAGCCAGTAACAGACGTTATGAGGTAACGACGAAAGTGTAGAAGCTTGCGCGCAGAGTGGATAAAAATTGCTTTTATCAAAAGAAAATGAAAATAGGCGGAAATTTCAAACTACTTCAATTGACAATTAGGCGAACGACATACACAAACAGCACATAGATGGCTGAGAGAGGTTAACTTTTACATTTTACTAAGTAGGGCTGATTTTGAGGTAGGATCAATTGTTGGGCTTCAAAATCTTTTCTTAATCAAAATACGGTCGATAAAGCTTATACATTTAAAAGAAAAAAAATCACGTATTACTATTAATTGTGTTTCTCCATCTATGAAATATATTCTGTGGAGCATATTTTCATCCATGAAATGTTTATAGTAGTTGTTTTTCTCTAGACCTCATAATCATTGAGGCTGATTTTTCAATGTTTTCAACGAAAAAAATCCACTTTTAGATGTATCTGGCAAACTCTTTATTGAATGCATCCGGCTGCGGCTTAAGTGAATCATTAAGCGTTTAGAAAACAGGACTGAACACCATCCTTGTTTGACAAATTACGCTTTGGCGTAGCTTGCATGTTTATAGCTACACGTCAGACAGGTTAAGATGATGTATTAGATGTAGATCAATTGACCTATGATAGTTTCAATTTTTAGATTAGCTAAGCGTTGAAAAGCGAGTTGTTGACTCTACTGATTGACTTGGTGTAAGACCGATGGCTCAATTGTTAACACTTGCATGACTGTGCATGTGGACGAAGAGCGGTTTTCCGGGTCAGATAGTTACTTACGGTTTGAATCTACCTTGGCTTGTTCAATCTTGTGTAAATGATTGCCCCCATAAAATCTCATATCAACCGGGTTTTGGCTTATTAAGTGAATTATTTAAAATGTTATTGTAAGTGTAAGGTGAATTAATAGCCAGAGAGGGACGGGAAGGAATGATAGCGACTATCATTTCTTCCAGTGCCTCTCTCGATCCCAACTGAGAAGGTCTCGGTAAAATTACGCTGATGTAAGCACGATACAGCTTTTAAGTAAACTTCTTTTGGTCTTTGGTTTTCCTTTTTCCGTGTTGTAGTGCAGAGAAGTGTGCTTTGAAAAACATGACAACAATCCTTCTTTAGAATATAAAATACTTTCAATTGATACTCTTTCTATCTTTGCAAGCCAGCTGGAAACTGGACTGCGTTGGATTTTATATTTCTTTTTTATATATATTTTTTTTATTCTGCAAAGATATTGGCTGTGGGCGGTAATGATTAAAAATGGTTAATGACCGAGGATTATCAACAATCAAACAATCCGGCCGGCAAATCAGTGTTCGATGCGGTAGAATTTTTCCTGCGGAACTTCACTGAAACCAATATATGCTCTTCTGATTAGTAATTCTTTTGTTCATGTTTAGCAATCTCACTGAGCATCCATTAATCTTGAAATGAAAAAAAAAAAGTTCGCAAATTCATTACTTTTACTAAAATGCACATTATCAACGAGGTTGGATTGACGTCGTCTCTCCCATTTCTTTAAACTCCGACAGACACTTTCCTTTTGTAAGACGCGGGACTTTGACAGAAATGAAATTTGTTTCATGTTCAATTGCCAAAAAATGCCCTCAACTCAGTGGGAATTTAATAAAGTGAAATTATAACTTAATCCTTAAGATTTAGAGTGGTCAGAACATATTGGGAGATTCATCAGTAGTAAGCGAAATTCAATCGGCCTCTGAAGAATGACAGTCCGAAGGGAGATAAAGTTAGGAGGTAAGAACAAAACCTGTTCCCGGCCTTGTAGAATGAGATGGAAACAGGACATTCACGGCATAGTAAATAAAGTTCACGTTATCAACACAAAACGTACCAAAATGGATGTGAATTTCAAAAGGAAAGGGATGACACGAACAGCACTGAAGTTGTGTTGGAGCTCGTGAAACTTTGAACAATTGCAAATTTCTGTGCAAAAAAGTGAAGTGATAACTTACCAGACTGATCTTTATTTAATTAGTTATTTCTCCGTTCATGAAATGTTCAAATGTTCTTAGAAGCCGCTCAGTCTGTTCACAGATTGAAATGCTCTATTCCAAACCCACTGATTTTCAGTGTTATCAGCGAAATCCAGGTCTAATGCACTGTTGATGAGTGTTATTGTTGACCCTTTCAAACTCTTACGGGCAAAACGAGCATTTCCTTTGAACGAAACAGCTACTGAACTGTACTAATGAGAAACGATATGACAAGTTCTACGGTGATGCGAAACGTCTCTAAGAACTTATAAATCGTCTTGGCCACACAGGACATGAACAAATAGATCCTGAAAGCTAAGAGGAAAGGGGTTTGGGAAGTATCATAATTCTCAAGAAAAAAAGGTAAAGTTAACTTTGAAGGGAGACACCCGCGCCGTGATTAATGTGCGAACCGTAGCAATCCTGATGAGTGAATAGTTATTAGATATGTCGTCATATGACATCAATGAAAGACACAATCCGTATCATGGCTATTCAGACTATGTTAAATATAGAACTGGCCAGTGTTACAATACAGTGACAATATATCACTTTTCGTAATGAAGAGCCGTGCAAGAACGAAGAAAGTGACATCTAAAATGAATAATCATTTAGCAATTTCTCGTTAGTCAGCTTAAGCAATATCACCATGATAGTTCGTGAGTATAGCTATTAGCAAGTTACCGCTAACTTGGGCACAAGGTCCTGAGTTTTTGTCGCAGTTCTCACAAGTGTTCTCGGCCTTGATTTGATCACACGTTTCGTCGTACAGATTCTAAATCTTTCCTTAGTTGATATTATCAGCTCTTTTTTTCATTAAGTAACGCCGAACTGCATACATGTGCATTATACTGATGTCTTCGATCTCTCACTGTTTTGAGCACTTAAACAATGCTAACAGGTAACCGTGACTAGTGAAACAGTATATTATCCGCTCAGCTGACAAGCTTTGATCCCGGGCGGGGCTTTGATTTAGGCAACTGACGTAAAGTCTTTGTGAACACGTATTCTAAATTTTACTTAGACATCAAAGTTTTGGCCCAGGTATTTAATATTTTAATTTTTTTGTTTTAATTAACCATTTTTAAAACAAAACAAAGCTAAAGCTGTTGAGTAGCGACTCACATATTTTCACCTTTTACTTACTAGGTTTGCTATTTTAGTGCAAATTGCATGTCTGTTAGCAGTTGTAAGATCTCTACTGACTGAAATAAAAACAAAATTGAAGCTTTTACTCTGTGGTTTTAGCGATAGCAAGACATACAGAAATTTTAACCGACATGCGCCAGTGAAAGAGGGTCTCAAAAAGCTACTCAATACCCGCCTTAGCTTATATTTATCGCCAGTTTGCCCGTACTTTTAACCCTTTCACCCTAAGATCAAAATTTTGATTCTCATTTGTTGCCTCTATTCATTTCCTACAAAAGTAGTGGAGAGAAGGTGACAAAATATCAAGCAAATTCATCTTGGGTGATCATGTCCGTAATTCTCATGACCATTCTGTTTTACAAAGCATTGATATTACAGGGAGAAATTTGATGCTGATCACCCTTAGGACTTAAAGGGTTAATAACGATTAAAATTTTTTTGCATTTTACAATAAAAGCATTCAATTAGGAACCTTCAATTTAATCAAACTTGTCAACAGGTTTCTTCGAAGATGGATCCATATGAAACTTTCAAGATTCATTGGTCTTTACGAATCCAGACCCTTCCCTCCGAGGGTTTTTTGACTTTTGATGAAGAGCAGTGAGCGAATCAAAACTACTGGAAAGATACACTGCCGTGTTGGTCGGATTTTCGCTTACTGCAGGTCCGAGCCAAAAGTTGAAAAAACCCTGGAGGAGTCTTATTAGATTTATTCATTTTAGGTAGCGGGGGCGTAAACAGCATACAGGAGAGTATTGCTTCTAATAGTTTTCATTAGTCACGCCCATAAAAAGGTAAGGTGAATTCTGTTTCACACTGTATGTAGAGTTCTTGATAAACCTACACAGATACATCGGATACATTTGTAGGAACCATTGCAAGTAATGGTTAGTAAATACACAGTTTCGTTTCCTTGCCATGAGAACTTGATTAAAGTTTGCTTGATTGAAATTTCCTTTTTTAATTTTCCTTCTAAATGACGTCAGCACAATAAGACGTCAAATACATGCCAGTTTTTTCAGCTTTATTAATTATTTCACGCTTGCTCTTGAAGGTAGTCTTGTCCATAAAAATCATCCTAACATTAGATCTCAGCGGGGTGGCTGTCGTGACGGGAATCAAACCAATTTCAAAATGATCTTTGTTGTATTGCCTTTAGTTTCTAACCTGATATTGCCTAGTCCACAAACAAGCATAATTACAGTTAAGCCGCAGAGCACTTACACCATCTGAGTAAAGAGCGAAAAAGGTGTCCACGTTAATTATCAATGAATTACTCAATCAATCGTAAAGTTGAGGTAGTTGGAAGGCATTCGATCGAGATGAAAGTCGTCTCAATAATATTATGTTGAAAGGAGGTGTCTATAAGGTTCGGCTATAGAACATTTTGCATTTTGTTTTCCTCAACATTTATTCATTTTGTTTATTTAGAGCCGTTCTTGCGGCGTTGTTTTGTGCAATGGAGGGTCTTCGAGTCGTCAAGGGGTGGTTAACGAGGGGGGTGAATAGGCGAACGGATCGGCGGATTTTGCAAATATTTTTGCCCGGATTTCGGATTCAAAGCGAGATTTTAACGGATTTCTGGATCCTGCAACTGCAGCGGAATGCGGATTCATCTATTTTTTGGTCCCGGATTTTGGACTCTGCTTGTAATATAAATATTTTTGCCCGGATCTCGGATTCATAGTGAAAATTTAACGGCGGATTTGGTTAATAAATCATAACGGCTCGGCGGATTTGCATACCCCTATTCACCCCCCTCGTTAACCTGTATCTCGTAGTCAAGTGTAATATAAATTTCAGTTTAGAAATTTTAAATTTCAGTTCGTTTGTCTGACATCACTTAATACTTTTTTGGATCTCAGATCTCGGTTATTAGCTAAATATTTAGTCATTCATTTTAAAATTGCAAATAGTCCCTAAAATTTGCCCTCAAGTTTTACAATTAAGAGAGGATAAAGCTCTCTTTCGGGTTTTACCAAGTCTGTTGGATTCGTTTTGTTAGCTGGGGAAGCTTCTTTGGTTTCCATATCTCAGGGGCAGTCGTTTTTAAAGAGCCTATAGCGTGTTTATTTACCATTAGATTCCGAATTTCGTGGAAAAAGTGGTGTTGAAAAGGGAGCAATGGCGGCTTTTAAGATTTCATCTCTTGCTACCTACCTGGTCCATTTTATTGTATTGAGGGCTTGTTGTATGGAAGACATATTAACAACAAACTTCGTGTGATCATTAAGGGTAACAACAACAAATTACACCGCAGAGAGAGTTTTATTGAAGTTTGTTTGATACTGCTTACAAATTTTAGGATAGTAACTTATCCCCATACAAACACTGTAAGTTTGCAGGAATCGGGCACCCAACGAGAATATCATGGTTCAAAAAACCACTTAAACAATTGTTGAACGTATTTTAGTATTTAAACAGTAGATATAGGGATACTTCTATCCCCTAAAAATTTTTCATCTGTTTGGATTTCCTAGCTGAAAGACTAGTGATCCGAAAATTATAGGGATCCAAAAAGTTTCAGCCAGAAAAAACTGGCTACCGAAAATTCTAGTTGACCTTTTTAGGGTGAAAATCCGTTAAAAACGGGCAATTATTATACCATTTTTTAATATGTTCGAAAATCCTGGGAGAGGCAGACCAGCAAAAAAATTTTAAAACAAATGTTCCGGAAATTCTAGATCTCAAATCGTCTTCCGAACAGATATTTTCTAAAATTTGACGTTGGGTGCCCCTGTCCCCTGGATAAACACTACGAAACGAACTCAAAGCTAGTTGTAAGGGCGGGAATTGTGCTCGGTATATATCTATATTACCTTTGGATAAAGATAAATGAAAAGATTTTTCAAACCCACACTTTCAACGTTTACCCTGCCAAATATTCCATTCTGATTCACATTTAGGAATCCATGCCTCAAGGTTGAGTTTTGGCAGCGCGTCGCAAGACACTCTTATTTTAGATTGTTTCATGGCCCATCTGGGAATAGCCGGAAAGTCATCACTATTTTCACAGATTATCTTGGAAAAGAGTGTTTTTCTGAGTTCTCGAAGCTGGCAATGGTTGAATGCTGTCTTGTCGGTGTTTAAGTATGCGTTAGCCTCGTTTTCATGCCAAAAGCGATCTCCGATTTTGAGGCGTTTAAACTGCTCTGCTACAATACATTGGAATGTTGGTCCCAGGACTCCTCCTTTAGGGTCTACTCCTTCCAGCATTCCTAAAAAAGAATCGAATAGCAGATAAAGCTTACCTTGCAGATGCATACAGTAGAAAAAATTATATGGAGGAGGCCATAGAAAAAGGGCAGCTTTCCCAAGTTCCAGTCTGTTTATCGGTAAAAACTGCTTGGGTTTGTATCGAAAAATATGTTTATTTGAATAAAAACAACTTTAAATTTTAGGACATGTCTATTTAAATTAAGAATTTACTTTCTCAGAGAGCCACCGAAATCTTCCATGTGCTTAACTTAAAACTTCTCTCAAAGACTGGAAAATGGTCATTTTTATTTCGGTTTCTAACCGTCTCAGTCAATATTATAACAACATACTCGAAATGCGTGACGTGCGTGTGCTTTTTCTAACAGCCGTTAAAGCCTCGTGCAAACGGAGGAAACATTGTTGACAAACAACTCCAAACATTGTTGGGTGTTGTTGCGTCCGTTAGCTAAAAGTTTGTCCGGTTTCAAACTTTGCGAAACAACTCCCAACAACTCGCAACACCATGTAACAGCTAAGTTTGCAAACGGAAGCGACATCTACCATTAACTTCTAATGTTAGGAGTTGCTGGCAAAGAATATAAAGAGAGATTTAGGGTCACGTTTACGGCAAACGGCATGTACCAGATACAATTTGAGAAGTAATAAACAGCAAACGACAGTTAGGGAAAAACTTGATCACGTGGTACAAATTCCGCGTTTGCCGCTTGGCGTAAACGTGGCTCTAAATCTCTCTAATGTTGCGTCCGACTTCTGGCACGAGGCTTAATAGCTTATTAAAGCTTTATTTCCAGTCCCAGAACTGTCCGAGCAGAAGCTTCATATTATCGGACAGGTCAAAATTGGACAATTAGACAGCCAATGAAAATTAAAGGTAGTCATGTGTAGATTTATATTCTAACCGGTTATCAAAAGCTACGTGCCAGCGGACGCAGCAACTCCCAACATGACTAGCCACCGACACTGAGGCAAATGATTGTTTTAGTTGTACCAAAACAGTGAGATATTATTGAGCACAAAAATGATGATTTTAACTCATTTACTGTTGCAAACGATTACAGTTTTGACGCGCAATGACCGAACGGCCGAGGTCGTCGCTTTTTCTTGTCGATAAATGAAACTTTTGAAGGCATTTGTTTGGCTCTTGCGGCGAAATTTCTTCAAAAGGAGTTGTGAATTCTTTTTGTATTTAAAATCATTCTGTAACATCCAACATTGTTGGGAGCATTCTCAGAGACCCAGGGGCGGTCCGTTTGGTCAGAAAAAACGGCGGTGAAAGTTTTCAAGAACGGGCAAGAGAGCCCCTGGGATGCTACTCTTTAGAGCCAGATCTACGACTCTTTTATTTTCAAATGCTTGTCTGTTATTGGGCACAAAAAGGTAGGTAAACATGTAAACTCTTTCGTATAAGATGACGAAAGCAGTGCGATAAATGCTGGCCTCTGATAACGCACAAAAAAATATTTTTGTGCTCAATCACAGTCAAGCTTTCGAATGAGTCGTACAAGCTTGCTCGTTAAAGTGCCCATCACCTAAAATTATATTTTTTCTTATCTGAAACTATACCTTATTAAAATAACTTCTGCGAAAAAATTTTGTCATTTCAACAAAACGCGATTTTTTAACCAATTTTTGAAGTCGACATTTTTGCGGTACACCCGCGCCGCTGATCACGCAAACTATAGCAGGTTCATATATGACGTCATGTGACGTAAATTAAGGAACTCGCATTACCTTTCCTTTACTAGCTGTACACAAAAAAGATCAATTACAAGCTTGAATCACAATGTCTTCGCACGAAGAAAGTTTTTCTGAAACAGAAAAACCTACCAGAACTCTTAATGTTTTCCTGTAGATAAAGTTACGTGTTCCTTAAAGTACGTCATACCCCGAAAGAAGACTAAGACGAATGGTGTGCCAAAATGGCGGCAAATTTGAACGTTTTTAAAAAATTCTGAAAAAATCGTCTTTGGTTCAAATCGAAAAATTTTTTCGCAGAAGTTATTTCAATAAGGTGTAGTTTCAGGTAAGAAAATAAAAAAATTTTAGGTGATAGGCACTTTAAGAGTAACATCCCAGGGGCTCTCCCGCCCGTTCTTGAAAACTTTCCCCGCTGTTTTTCCTGACGCAACTGACCGCCCCTGGGTCTCGTTTGCAGGTAGTATAGCTATACAGACGAAACGGCGTATGTGTTTCTGTTCGCTGTTTTTCACTGCTAAAGTAAATAAAAATGGTAAATATAATTACACCTAATACAATACAGATATTTTTTACCGGAGGTCTTTTTCTCAGTTTTCATTTTCGAAACGGTTCGGCCAGTCGTAGTCTACAAAACATCGGCTTCACTTAGGGGTGGTGCTTTGTCCTATCAGTTTAAATGCCCATCATGACTAATAGCAAGACGGGTAATATTCGGAATATTAATGTTACTCATAGTTAAAACAGAAACTGAATCATTAAAATTGTGATAATACTCAAGACTAACCTCCGGTGAACAAGTCTATATCCTCAATTCTTCCCTTGTAAATTTTTTTTAAGTTGGCCACGTCCTTTGGGTAAAATCCAGCCTTTTTTTCCAAGTCAAGGAACGATTTCACTTCTGTAAGGTTACATAGTTTAAGGTTACGATAGATGATGTAACCGGGAGCTCCTCGATCACGTCCTCTTTTGATGTTAATAGCCACTAAGTCAGAAAGATCACCTTCACCCCGACGCAGGTTTTCTTGTACAGAGCTTGAAAACCTCCTAAATGACCAAAAATAATAGTGACAATCACGAAGTATTCCTCTTTTGTTAAGATCTGTATTAAGAGGCAGCGTGGCCGAGTTGTCAGCACATCGGCCTCGCAATCCGGCGGTCCCGGGTTCGATTCCCCGGCTCTGGCTACTTACTGCAATTGTTCCCGGTCATCCCGAGTTCAAAACCTCGGTAACGCTTGTAAATAGCCAACTCAGTGCAGCCTCCCGCCAGTTGGAGTTTTTAATCCCGTTATGTTCTATTTCCATCATTTTCAGAATCATTTGAGCGGAGTGCCTGTAGACTAGCTGGATAAACTAAATGCACTCTCCACTGTAAAAAAACCTTGAACCTTTTAATCTTTAACTTGAAAGCTTATAAATCATCGTTCGGTGTTGCAGCCTCACTCCAGTTGTACGTGAAATTTATAGCTATAGCCCCGACGCGCGAATTGTCTCGTGTAAGGGGATGCAGGGAACTCAGTTTGCTTGTAGAGAAATTTTTGCTTGTGGAATCAAGAACCATGGGCTTTGGATTGAAGACTGTCTTCGATTCCCTTGCGTCGGGCGACGCAAGACGCTGGACAGACACGTCGTACCACTGGCAGTGAAAACAGTTAGGGAGGAAAGCGTAAATAGCAACACGGATATTTTGTTTCCATTGAAGAAACTTAATAAAAACATGGAATATTTAAAAATTATTGAATGCCGTTTATCGCTCTTTTTTGTGACTTGTAGATCAGATCTCTCGGCTGGGAGTGTTTATATACACAGCTATACACATAACACCACCCGAGATCTGCCTCATTCCCTTGTAATAATAATAATAATAATAATAATAATAATAATAATATTTATAGAGGGAGCCCAACTCGCCAAGGCGGTTTTCAGTGGGGCCCTCATGCATTAATCTAACTAATTAATTAATAATTACGAAAAAAGTAAAATATGTTTACAAGTAAAACAAATTTAAAAATTTAAAATCTTAAAATCGATTATACAAAAAAAACATCAAGGTTTAAAATTAGCTGAGATCTTTTAAAAAAGTTTTTAACTTGGATTTAAAAATAGATAAAATATTACACTCTTTTAAATCATTTGGAAGGCTGTTCCAGTCTTTCGCGGCGTGAAAAATAAAAGTTTGTTTACCCCAGTTTGTTCTGGGTAGGGGTAAGCGAATATCATTAGAGCGTCTTGTATTATATGAATGAACAGCTTGACTTTTAGTAAAATTAAAGCTGAAATCGGTTTCTCCAATAAGACACTTGCCTCAACATGAAGGCATGTTGAGGCGTTTTTTTTTAAAAATTATTTTTCTGATTGGCTTTAATCCCCCAGCTAAATCTTAATTTGACCAGCTAGTGTTGATCAAATTGGGAAGACTGCAGCTCTCTGATACAACCAACGTCAATCGGATCTACAACATTCGAATAATGGACTAACAACACAAACGGTTAACCGCGTAACGGTGTTTGGATGTTTTTGCAGTGTTCTATATGGATGAAGAAAGTGGTGGAGGCTTTCACGAGTTAGTTAAATTAATGAACAACAGCCTCAACAGCAAATTTTATTTAAATTCAAACAGTATAAAGGAATACATAAATTTTTCCACGCGCCAATAGCCAAGGAACCAATCAGCTGTGAAGAATTTTTGCTCAAGTATTAAGCAATACTCGAACAGCCGAAAAACATGCAGATGTTACGAGGAAAGGAAATTTATTACATACCGCTAATTTTTTTTTCGAGGTTAGAAATATTTTGAATGAACAATAAATGTTTTGATTCGGGCTATCGCGGTATGAATTTAAAGGTAAAGGGGTAAAGAGTCCTTATTATACGTCGGTAGCTCGAAATAGTCATCTCGATAACAAACCTCAGAGGCCGACGGTGCGCTGACATTTTAACCCCGTCCCCTCCTCTCTTCATCAGTGTTGCGTTTTACGGGTATTTAAAGCTACTTAAAGCTGGCAGGGAAAGGAAAGAAGTCGAAAGAACGATATGAGGCCACACCTCGAAATCAAAAATGCTCCCTCCGCACAGAAGGCGGCACCCTTAAACCAACCGCGCTAATCCTTTCTCCGTATGATATCAGGAAAATGACTGATGCGTTTTAATCCAAACACCCAATCTTACTTAGACTGTCACCCACTGACTTAAGTGCCTTGCATGTTTTTTTCGTTTTTGCTTCGGAGACGTACTGGGTACATTTCCCACTCTTCTAAACTGAATAATGCCTGAGCTCCGAAGCTTCTTAAAAGGAGGAGGCATTATCCACACCTTTCCATCGTTTTAGAACAGGCAGGTCGTTATTGTGAAGTGCCCCACCTCAGTGCCTTGCTCTGCCATAGTATTTGAAATAATAACCTGCTTGAAACAATGGAGAGCTGCATAAAGTTAAGGCACGCTCGTTAAAAGGGTCTCAAAGTGCACAGTACATACAGGTGATTTTACTTACCCGTCGGCTTTCCCCGCAGGGTCTTTCACTAAGCCCCTCAAAATGGAATCGATACCTCCTTTACCAGTATCATATAAGTACTGTGGATTATTGAAGTCCAATACTGGGATAGGCAGAAATTTTGATTTGCCTTTATCGCATTTGTGTTCAAAGCCAGCTTGAGAGAACCGATTGAACAACTCTTGAACCAAACTGTGACCAAATCGATACCCGGCTACAGCAAAGGCCGTGGACATTTGCGTATCCACTGTTTTGTCATAGCCATTGAAGAACTGGTCTCCCTCAAGAAGCTTGAGTCCAAATGTCTTGATCTAAAAGTGTTGAAAGTGAGACACTTTGAAATAAATATATAAATTATATGAACACCACTGATTGAAATACCTAGTGTTAAAAAAATATTTCACCCGTTCGCTGCGCACATTGGCGGTTAGAAATAGTTTTTAGCACTCCAAGAGAAATTTCGTATCTCCGGGCAGCCATGTGATATCCTCCATATGTTTGAGTAGTAAACGGAAACAAAACATGGATTGTTTCATTTAGATTGTGCTCTATGTATGATGGCGGAGCTCAAGCGCGGAGCCCATTAAGGTTGAACACGCGGACAGCCTTTTTGTTCCTTATTCACGTTGGTCCCATGAAAAAGACGAGCAACACGCGTCCAAAACAGGCAGCATTGGCGTCAATATTCAAGATAAATCGCATGCACTTACGTTAGACCTAATCTTTGATACTGCGGGATAACCATAATATTTTCTATCGTCAAAACAAGGTAAAGTGAAGCCTTAAGAGAACACCTTCTATTGAGCAATTTTGTTTAAGTTCACGTTTTTTTAATGCCACCAACATTTGAAACTCACAAATAAAAATAAACGCTCCCCCTTCCGGAACTCAGAAAATATAAAGAAAAACAGACCCCCGGACACTATATTTCGAACATTTACGGTAATTCTGACTGCTCCGCATAAATTATGTGACGTGCATGCTGATATTTGGGACTGCGTCAAGGGTGATGGTTATGCTAAATAAATATTCAGTAATCTAAAACATTTCTAGTTCAAAAAATCAGTCAGTCAATTTTTTTTACAATACACCTCAGAATTAAAATAACCAGAATTTAATAGATTGTAGTTTGCAGAGACATACCGTGTGTTCGCTTAAAATTAACGGCAGGAACTCGCCGTATGTTATGATTTGCATTTGCGCTCCAATAATTCTTCTGGTTTCTTGGTAAATCTTTTCGGCGTCCCAGGTAGTTTTCTGACCAAAAAATGTAGCGATGCGGTTGTGGTGCCGTGTAAAAATAGTATGGAGCGAATTCAGACCTGTTGGTTTAAAAATAAATCAACTGCTTATTTTTTCGGGTTAAGAAGATGACTCCGTAATAATACATTTCTAATAATAATCTTAATAATTAACTCCTGCATTGGGCAATAATGTCGCCCTTTATCAATACTAACAAGCTGAGCACATTAGTTAAATGTATCAGCAATTAAAATTAATTTCAACCTAAACTTAGACTAAACGTTATCGCTAAAGTTAAAAAAAAAAGAAAGAAAAAGAAGAATTACTTCATATGTTACTTGAGGGAAGTTTACGATTGATGTACATGTACTCTGAGTCCGTGATTTAGTGCCCTACTTACAACAGGTAGTCCAAATGCAGAATTGGAGCGATAGCACTGGTGCGTTCCTCCGAAAAGTTTAATCAGGATTTTTGCAGAAAAAAACCCCTATTTTTTCTAAAGCCTAAAGATAAAAATGAAATTTTATCAAAGGCGATGGTATGCTCTTTTTCCTTGCTAATTTGGACAGGCGACCAGAAGCTCTCACCCGTTACTATGTGACGTCGCACTTGCACGCGGAGTGTTTCATGAAAGGCAGTTTCAAAACAATATAATAGAGTCATCTGCCTCCCCCTCTCCTCCCTGAGAGGAGCCCGACCCTTCATCTTAATTATTATTCATTCAAAATATTTCCCCGATTCTGATTGGCTAAAAGCACACGCATAATTCACCATGACCAGTTGCTGATGACCAAATATGGAAGAATTTTGTGTTTAGCGGGGAAATGACGTCCAAAACGCAGCGTTTTTTTTACGGTTAATGCACCGTTAACCGAGAAGACCTGGGGACGAGGTTGAGTTGTTTTGGTTGTGGAAACAAAAATGGCGGACATTCACTCGTTTCAAGAGTAAGAACTAGGCGAAATAATAGCTAAAAACATGGCAAGAACAGTAAGAGGACAACTCGAAGGGCGACATCTGCTATTTGGAGAATGTTTGCGGAGCTGAACAACCCTAAACGTGCACTATCGAAGATGAACTTTAACATCGATGAATCGATGGAGGTAAGCATGTTTTATGTTTTTAAACTAGGAATTATTTTGAATGAAGAATTATGGAGATCTCGGAGGGTGTTATCGGCCTCGGCCTACGGCCTCGACAGATAACACCCTCCTCGATCTCCATAATTCTTCATAAGACACTCAGCCTCATTCATTAATTGTTAAGTATCATGACAAAACTGTGATCCATTCAACGCTAGCTTCACAATACGGAGTTCAAGAAACAACTGCGTCGACGCCAGAACTTTCTTTTAAAAAAGCGAATTCGTGTTCTCTCAACCTTAATCAATCGCGATTATCGCCGAACTCTCTTAAATTTTCAAATGTAGGCAAACTCTCCTGAAACTGAATTCCTTAGAGCCATACCAAATAAGAAAAAGGAGCCGAAAGAATTTACATATCGTCGTTGATCGCTTGTTTACGTCCTCCATATAATTGTGGGAGTACGTGGTTTAATATCGTAGCCGTGCACTAACGGCAAAGAAGTGTGATCGTGTGTGGCACTTGCAAAATTGTTGTTTTGCTAACTAAACATTACAATTTGCTTTTTTGGCATTTATGTTACCGATTTATGTTACCGTCGTTGTCGTGACATCTCAAACTCCCTAATTTTTGCTGTTTCTGCTTACCCCCCTACCCTCCAAAAAACTTTCTTCCCATTTTATCGATTTCGTCGCAAGCTTAGAATGGCTCTAATCTCACCTTGGTTCTCATTGTTTCTTATATCTCCTGTTACAAAACATGGCCTGTTTGGATCCCGCGATGGACAAAACCCTTGGGTTTGGGCAGGAAGCAGGTTCTTAAATGGGCAGCCATGTGGATGCTCCATGTCCAGTAGTAGGCCGTCTGGAGCACGAAGTGAATCAGCGACCTGCTTAGTTGATCCATATACGTTAGACGCGTCAATAAAGGCCGTTATTGTGTTCGAATGCTCTCGAACGACTAATTTACAATGAGAAACTGGTACGTGGGGGGCATCTCTCTCCATTTCAATAAAATCAACCTCTCTTTCACGGAATGTCGCATCATCCTTTGGAATATGAATGTTGATACACTCAGAATTCTTCTTGTCGGCAGGTGGCTCACAGTTAAGTCCCTGTGCCTCTGCCAACGTTATGTCGTGGTCCAAAAACTGTCCAAAATTCATGGCCAGATGGGTCAGTATTTTGGAATTTGGGTTTGAGCGGTCTGCATTGCTGCCGTGAACAAAACGACTAACGTCTCGCGCGTTTGGAAGCACTTTACCGGTCACTGATCTTCGAGGTTCTGAGATGCAATCGCCATAATCAGCCTCTGCAACGCGTGTGAATTTTGATCCGACTGAACCAAAAATTGGGTTTTCTAGGTTGTTACATGCTCCATCGATTGTGCGAAATGTGGTATTCCAATCACACTGTATAGAATGCACTTTTATGGGGTAGATGTCGATCGCTTTCTTGAGAATTTTTCTTTTGCATGCTCTTTCTCTTTCACCTCTGTTGGGGGAATGTGGAATAAAAATGTTATCTGTTAGGCACTGGCCTAAAACTGGTATATTCTTCCAAAAAAAAAGTGAATCCGGGGAAGATCCACTTTACTGAAGTGCACTGTTTTATAGATTGTGCTAACATAATTTTTCCCATTTTTATAACGTAGCACTGCTAGCATAATTCGCATATTTTGATAATGACCGGAACATTTTTGGGTTTTTTGTGTGTTCGTAACAATAACCGTAGAAGATGAAGATATGATAGTCAATGTACTTGTCATTTTAATCACAACCTAGTAACTAAGCAACTAGGAAAAGAAAGACTGAAAAATTTATAGGTTCAAACTCTACTGCCGTGCGGATCCTTAGTGGAGGGACTACTTTTCTCAAAGTTGAAAAAAATATCAGTCGCGAATCCAATTGGACGAGCTTTGTTTCTCACCTGATCGGCTAGAACTCAGTATATACGTTGGCTGTATAACATTGGCACTACTATCAATAGTTTCAAAAGTGGCGACCGCCAAAGGGCCTAAACAGCTTTGAAGAGCAATATTGTGATTGTTTTCAAATTTTGTCCTCGGGCTGCCGCAGTTTTAATTATACGCTGCTTTATTTTGAAACCTAGAGGAACAAGCTATTCTAAATCACTAGAGAGAATCGTGCTTTTAATCCCAGATTTGCGTATATCAAATTGCAATTATTGCCTTTTCTATAAATCGTTGTGGAAGCTCCGCTTAAAGGCTTGCCTAAAACTACATAAATATGTACATAACAACAGAGCAATTGGATTTTAACAATCCGCGAAAGTTGAAAGAATTAAATTATACAATATTTTGACTTACTTTGGTAGGTTGGCAATACTCAGCTCCCCTAGAACTGATAAATCTTTGCACAGTTCATCCAGGACGCACGAGGTGCATTTTTCACTCCTTTTAGCATCGAGCCACTTCTTATCGCTAATGAAATCCTTGACTCCGTGCTGATAGGCCTGATAGTCCTTTCTCAGGGCTGATTTTCTCTCCTTTTTTCGATTCCTTGATGGTACAGTCAAGTTGCATTTGCCTTGGGCAAGTTTCTTAGCCGCGTTGATAGTAAGCAGCAGTGGAACATCGTTGTTTAATGTAGAAAAGCTCTTATCGAGTCCTTTACCCAGGGTGGAAACCTCATCAAGAGATTCTTTGTGAACGTTTTTGTCGTGTACATCCTGGTTAGTTATCTTATTCATCATTTTTTCCGCTACAGAGTCTTTTTCACCGACGACGTTAGGCGAGGCCAAGTCTATTACAAGCAGTAGGAACACCAGACTGACCAGTAAGTGTCTTGCCATGATTGACTGAAATGGAATTGAAATTGTTTGAATTAAGAGCAAATCAAGGTTAATTTTATGCTAGTATATTAAATATAGTGTATTGTTGTTAATTCTTTTTTATAAATTGTTTTCTCTCCTCTAGATTGAAATTGATTGTTCTGGGGAAGGCATATTTGATTAGTTGTATAAAGTGTTAAATAAAAAACACATACACCGCTAAAAATTATTCACAGCGTACTTAGTTAAGAATGGAAAAATTGTCCAGAGGAGTTTATTTTGTGATTGGGACTTTTTAGTCGAGGCTGGCCCATAGGGGCAACGCCGACTTACGTTTTCGGCTCAGTATCTTTTTTTTCTTTTTTTCTTTTACGTTTTTCTGTCGCGAATTTTCATCCCAGGTGGTGACTTCTTGTGTACGTACGTGCCATCCAATCCTAAAACTACGGCGTAATCGACACGTACTCTGACATTTACTTTTGGAATAAAACCCCTGGAAAAGTCCTAACCGGGGGATTACTAAGGTCATTTTTGTGAGGGTGTGACAATAAGGCCTCCAAATTTAGAACTTGGGCAACTCATTGGCCGGCCTATACTCATCCATCCAATATCCTCCTCTAAGTTTATCTTGTGAGCTAACAAGCGAAAACAGCTATTAAACGAAGATGTTTTGAAATTAGCGTACTGCGCTTTTACAACGTCTCCTTCAAAATTTTGCCACGATGAGTAACTTTTGAAGTTTTTGTTCACCTTTTCTTGAAGTTTAAACCCTTCGATAAGTATTTTCTCTTCCAAAACCTGGTGGCAGGTCTCTCTGTCTGTGAGGTGTGTGGCTTAAAAACGGTACCCATTTTTCTTGTTTATATAAGAATGTTATTTTTCAGGCCTTTTACTGAAAGAAAATCAATTATTTTCTACGTTTAAGTTTAAAACATAAATTTTACTGTATTTCCAGATTTTCAACAACAAACTGAGTCCTTTTCAAGCTCTCGGCCTCGGGTTTAAACACGCTTCCGCGGCAACCTTTCTTGTCTTTAAATATTTTTAATTAAGCTTTTCAACAAATTAAAAACATAATCATGTCTTCAAATCCTGAGGTGTAAGTTACATCAACTTTTATGCCAATTGAGTTGGAAGTCCCTTAAGGCTGCGTTCTATTATATATTATTACAGTATGTATATTTAACTTAATTTGTTTTTAAGTGTCTCCATAACATTACTTCAGATCTATGTAAGGATTATTTTATCAAGTCTTCACATCTTTTCCACTAGGCGTTATGGTTTATTTCAATTCCTAAACTGCGAAAAAAATCTTCTAAGAAAGGCACTTTTTTATACTGAAGCCCAAGCTTTCAATAACTTCATTGCCACCGCATCCTAAGGAAGTTGACTCTACAGTGATTTTTTGAAACACAGCTCAATGATATTATTTTTTAGAACTCTTAATTAACAATTAATGAATGAGGCTGAGTATCTTATGAAGGATATAACACCCTCCAAGATCTCCATTATTCTTCATATGATACGAAAGCCGAATTCAATAATTGTTTTATTATTCATTCATATTCGATGTTAAGTTCACCTTTGATAGTGCACGTTTAGGGTTGTTCAGCTCCGCAAATATTCTCCAAATAGCAGATGTCGCCCTTCGAGTTGTGTTCTTGCTGTTCTTGCCATGTTTTTAGCAATAATTTCGCCTAGTTCTTACTCTTGAAACGAGTGACATGTCCGCCATTTTTTGTTTTCACAACCAAAACAACTCAACCTCGTCCCCAGGTCTTCTCGGTTAACGGTGCCTTAACCTGCAAGAACGCTGCATTTTTGACGTCATTACCTCGCTAAATACAAAATTTTTCTAAATTTGGTCATCAGTAACTTGTTTTGGCGAATTATACGTGTACTTTTAGCCAATCAGAATCGGGGAAATCTTTTGAATGAATAATAATAGAACTTTAAGAGGTTTTAGTCTAGAGTCTTATTTTTCGTACGTAGTTAAATAATTCTTAGTTTTTATCCTTCGACATTGTACACAGTTTTTACATTTTTTAATAGTTAATTTATGATAGTTATTATCTTTTAATTGTTATTTTTAATAACAGTTTTAACTGACGGGTTTATCTTTGTTAAATATGTTACTATTGTTGTTATTTAATTATTATAGCTTAATTCTGACTTCAAATATTTCTGTAAATCATGTACATAATTTTTTAAAGTTGAATAAAATTATTATTATTAAAGAATTAAAATGAAGAGTTATTATCCATTATTATTGAAGTTTTACTCTCAACCGCGAGTTGCGTTTTTCAAAATTTGTTTTCTGAAATTTCCAATCACTCCAAAGTTGATTTAAGTAAACGTGTAACCAATCATTCTCGATGCCGACTGAAGGGACTGAGCTTAAAAGTCCCCTCCAGGGTTCCTCCAAAGCATCAATAGATTATGATAACATGCAATTATTTTCCTGGCCCCAGTTGTTCAAAAGGTGGATAACGCTATCCATCGGATAAATATCTATCGACTGGATAGCGCAATTGGTTTTCCTAATACTTATCCACTGGATAGTTATTTATCCATGCAGACTTTCAACAAAAATATAACTTCCCTTGTTTTTTTCAATTGCAACAGTTTCAGCTAATTTGGCACGACCCCCCCATGTAAGGAAGTCCGCCAAGTTTTGCTTGTGGAATCAGTCCTTAATACTGGGTTTTGGAATCCAGAAAACAGCTCAAGGAATCCGGAATCCCTTTAACGATTGGAATCTGGAGTCCAAGTTCCACTGGCAAAGTGCGACGTATCCAAGACTTCCTTAGATGGGGCAGTATTCAAGTGATACTGACACCGGTAAAAATCGCAAACTGAGTGATAACAAAGCCACAAATCAACAGACGAAGTAGCTCGAAGTCTTTATTTTAGAGGACAATTCCGATAGATTCAGGAGACGCCACTCGCATTTAATTTTAAAACAAAATCTATACACAGCTGCCTGCTGAGCAGACTTAAGAATCAAATACCGTTCGTTTCAGGTGAGGATGCATTAATTGCGACCATGCTCTTGTTTAGTCCCATAGTACGCGCTTTTGATCATATTTGCATGGAAAAGGCGCGTTATAAATTTTTAATTATTATTATTATTAGTTATTTTCCTGGATGCAATGATTTAGCCAGTACTTCTTTAATTACTGCGGAAGACTTATAAACTTTGTGATTTGATTTATGAAAAAAAAAATGTCAATTTTATAAAAGCGTATTGCCATGAGAAAACAAACGCTGGAACATTCACTCATAGTTCTAGCCTTGTCGCTAACTACAGTTTAACATGAATTGATTACTAATCAAACCAACATAAAGGCTATGGTCACAATTTGTCCTAGTCCCTGTTTTAAATTAAGTTACAGGCCTGTGCCTTTCCTGTCATATTTCTGTAAGAAATTAACATAGAACAAGAGAGAAATAATAAAAATTGAGATGATGAACATATTCACTTAGGGTTGATTTCCACTGTTGCGTAATTTTTTCGTGCAAACGCACGTAAAATTTCGACGCATAAATGAAATAGAGGCAATGTATGAAAGGCCAAGCGTAAACGTGAAAGTTGAGCGAGGTCCAACTTTTACGTTTACGCGTGACCTCCCATATATTGTCTCTATTCTATTTGCGAGCGTCATAAAAATTACAGGACAGCAGAAATCCACCTTAAGGTTAAAACAACATAATTATTTTGATTGTGTTGATCACCCAATGGTAAACGCGATTAAATTAGGACACTATGGGATAAAAGGAGTTGTTCTCTAGTGGTTGGTTTGAAGATCTTAAATTGAATGGACATCAAATAACGAATTCTCATAATGATCAAACATTTGAAAAATTTATTAAATGAGGGTAGTTTTACTCCACAAGGGGCCCACTCTATTGCCAGTCGTGATCATATCTAAATTGTATTATCGAAAACACCTTTCAAAAAATGTCACAATTCATTATTTTTGCTTGTACTTATTTTTTATCGGCACTTAAGTCGAAGCAACTTGCTTAACAGGGGGCAATTTACTAGAGCATATTAACAAAAGATACGTGTAGCAGCGCGTAACGCGAAAAACGTGTGAAAGGCACGAGATGGATTGAGGAGGGGAAGCGTCCTCTGGAACAATGAAAACGATAAAACACCAACGTTAACAACACTTCATATTCTATCCTCTTCTTTATCGTCTAGGCCAAATAACACTTTTTTCGATTTCTGTGGGTCCTGTTAAATACCTCAACGACTCGTTAATGGCGTTAACTGCAACCGCGTTTCTAAAATTATTACTTGGGACCAGGAGCTTGGGACCGGTGAAGGGGGGCATGTTTTAAACAGTATGTTTAGACGGTGTTCAGTTATAAGTATAGCCCTTTTTAAACTTTTTTAACACATACATCTTCTTTACATTGTTTGCTTTTAATAGCATCAAATGGACATTTTAAAGTGCCTAGGAAAGAAAATCATTTATGTACTAAAAGTATAAGAATATTTTCGGGGCCACTAATTTCCCCAAACCGCGCTTAAATTCAGTTAGCTTTAAACATCGACTTATTAGCAACTCCAAACTAAACGTCGTCTTCATTAGTTACGAGAAGTTGTGAATTATCTTTGAATGTTTAAGTATGGAAGATTAGTAACTTCACCAGTTGTTTCGTTTTATCCCTCAACTGTCAAAGTAACTTAATTGAATTAGTGTATATAAAATATATATCGATGAATAGGCTATGACCTCGAACACAATATTGCGGTTAATTTAGTTTAAAAAGATCTTTCAGTCAATTGTAACCTATAAAATCAATTACCTTAACTGGTCCCTTTTTACAGTATTGGATGGTCTCAAACTTTCCAAGCATTTTGATTAATTACGGCCCGTTCAATGAGATTGAAATCTTCCCTAGGAAAAGGAAACACTGTATTATGACAACATTGTATAGGAATTTTATGGAAAGGTTTTTGTTTGGGCAGTGGGTTGCAGGTTCTGACGGCAGGAGGTAATAAACTGACGAACCGTAATCTGAAATGACCGGTTGCGCAATACAAAACAATGGAGTCGTTGACAGAACCAGCAAGACCGCGCTTCGAGGGTCTCAAAAAATACCTGAAACATGTAAATCACGGGTTGTCGGCTGTCACATTTATTAGCAAGAGCTATTTTCTTTTGTTAGAGATTACTGCGACTCAGTAACGGATTTGTTTTACTTATCATTGAAGATTTAAGAGGTAGTCTCAGTAAAAACCGCCCACTCAATTTCGCGTGAAAAATAATTTTACCTGAAACTCTGGCAAGTGAAAGGCCTTATCAAGACTATAACTAAAACAGGTTTGCTTCAAGAGATCATAATAGAACAGAGATGGAGTCTAAGGGCGTTGGCCGGAATATCTTAATTTCAAAAAAGTTATTTCTACAACTATGAGGACCACGCGGAAACAGTTTCCGGTAAAACTGGTTGTCTTCCGGAAGACTCGCTTTCACTATTCAGCGCGCCAAAGCGAGGTGGAGTCAGCAAATGAAAAACTGGTGGCCTATGTGGAGGGACGATGTAGAGGGACTTTGAGTTGATAAATTGTCCTACTTCAACGAAGAACATACCATAGAAACTGATTAAAACTTCTACCGAAGTACCGAAAGACAGATACGGTATGCAAGAAAAACAAAGATGCATTACATTCTTTTTTTCAATTTTTTAAGCATTTCTAATTTCCTCTGCCGGTTCCCTTCTTGCTTCCAAAAAGTCTAAAAATATTTACGTTGGGAAAAATACTTGGCTTCGGTTTCTGACTGATATCAGATTTGCCGATTTTCGGATGATCCGGATTTCCGCATTTTCGGTTTTCCGTATGTCCGGGTTTCTTCGTTTCCGGTTTACATATCAATCTGCATTCTACCTGGAAGGTTTTTGCTTGAGATAGATCCGTAACGCTAGTGCTAAAAATATCGCAGAAGATCGCTGCGTTGATCCAAACGATCATAACTTTTAAAATATTGAAATCGTATAGGGGTTTTGCATATTCTCAATAACGGATGATCTATCTTTTTGTCTATTTGGTCTCATTGAGAGCTTTCAGCTAGGTACCAAACGTCAGAAATAAGCTTTTAAACCAGGGTCATTTTTGGCCTTTCGCTCCAAGGCAATTACTTGGGTCATATTTTGCTTGTTTTCGTCTTTTCAGCTAAATTTAGCGAATAACTATTACTTTCATGTAAAACTACTGAAACTAGGTGTTTACCTATAAATAGATATAAAATTCATTGGCAGATGGGGCAACTCACAGGGTCGTAATAATATGGTATATGGGCTCAGGGCTCAAAGCCAAAAAGATGACTGGGATCAGGTATCAGAGGAAAGGGCTCAGGGCTCAGAAGAATGGGATCAGGGATCACAAGGCTTTTGAGCCTGAATCAGGGATCAGATTTATTACACGGTCTAAAAATCTCTTATCACAATATTTTTCCGCATAATAAGGTTTCTGTCCTTAGAAATTCCTGGCCGAGGTACATTACCTATTCTTGCTTCCGTCTGGTGGCAGTTCCTGTCATACGAAGTCCTGGTTGTTTGACGAAAACATGGTATCATATTCTTAATTTATTTAATTGTTGAGGACACCGTAATATGAATCTCAAATCACTTTTCTCGCTTTGTAACTCAGCTCCTCAACGTGCTGTCAACGTCAGAGGGCAGAGAAAGCGATTAATACATATATATATATATTTTTTTTGCGAGAAATGGGGAAGAAGAAAAAGGACAAAAAGAAATCCTGTGACAGAGAAAGGTACATAACTTCTTCCTTGACTGATTTACTCCTGGCAAGGGTTCAAGCATAGAGTTTTTCAGCCGATCAAACATAACAATACAGGACAATAGACAAACCGATTCATTGAAAGCGAATTTTACTGTATAGGTCCCGATTTCCTCATTGCCTCAAGCAAGTCACAAGGTGTCTATAAATCGAGGTTCGTATGACCAGTAACTTAACCCTTAAAAGTACTTAAATAATTAGAATAGATGTCAAAAGTAGAATACAAGTACAATGAATTCGCGCGCTTTGTTGCAGAATAAATGCCTTCTCGCAATTCCAGACGTGCCTGTCCCTCCGGGTATTTGTCATCTTGTCGGTCCCGGTGGTGGGGAATTCATCAGAAAACCTCTGCCCAGGGGTGGGCCATTTGTCAATTCTTCTAGAAGCGGTTTACATTGTTCCTTTTTTTCAATATTTCACTTTAAAATATGCCTATTTAGACACTTCAGGACTATAACGAATATTTTTAATAATAATGCTTTCAAAGTACGATAAGGGTGGTTTTCGCTCCATCACCACCCTACACCACAGTTATTTTGCATTTTTTGCCTTTGTCTAATGAAATTGCTTCCCGCCATCGTGATTAGTTCTTACAAGGAGGAAAGACAATCAATGCATCGTTTGAAGAGTTTAAAAGGACGTTTTAGCTATATGGCTGCTAACCGGTCAAGGTTTTCAAAACACTTAATGACCGGCAGTTCTATATTCTCAGTAAATTTCACAAATGGAAAAAATCTAGCTAAACCAAGCCATCCCGCAGAGAGGAAGGGGAGGTTCACACTGGCCTTCTTAGGCAGGGGCTGAAAAAAAAAATACAGCTGATTTGAATTTCGACAATAAAAGGTAATTTTGTTGCGACTGGTACGGCCAGGACCCTGCCAGATCGCAATGACCAGTCTTAGCTTGACTTCGTCTTATGACAATGTATGAAGGGAGTTACAGTGGTTACGCAATTCAGCCTAAGATCCATTGAAACAACGAACAAATAACAAAACACAGTGGAATAGATCAGAGGCAAGTCTTTTTTTTTCGTTTCCTTGAGCAAAAGTGTAGATTTAACGTTTTTATAGCGTTCTCAGAACTCAGTATTGTATTTTTCTTACAAAAACTATTATTTTTAAGGGTTTCCTGTAACACGACACCGACGTGTTTGCCAATGAGGTCACGAGTCACCTAATGGCACGTACATTTTCACGAGGAAAGGGTAATTAACATGACGCGATCTCAGTGTCAATTCCAAGCGTGCCCATCTCCCCCGGGCATTTGTAGCACATTTTTTAGCCTGTGAAAACATCCGTTTCTCCACGCTCCGTTTGTGAGCCGTTCTCTAATATTGTAATGTATTAGGTTAGGTGCGCTTAATAGAACGGGGTCGCTCATAAGAATGGAGGCGCTTATTGGAATGGGGGCGCCTAATCATTACGGTAATGATGACACTATTTCTTAAAGGCCAGGTCTGAAAACGGGTCAGAATTTGGAGATCCGGGCGGCACACCCCCATCGTGAATTCCCTAGAGTACCGCACAGGGCTTTTACTCCATAAAAAAAAACAACAACAACAATCTAATTGGTATACATGACAAACGATGGTTACGCAATCTTCATGCCGTACGGTTGGTGTAGAGGCGAAGCTCTGAAGGTCAGAAAACGTACTTTACGACGGAGTGCAGGAGTTGCGTGTTGCGCGCCGCCAATTTTTAAACCAAGTTTAGGAAGGAGGGAGAAATTGGCTCAAAGAGTGAGGAGGAGGGAAATTTACTCTCCTGTACCTACCCCCTAAGTAGGCCTAACTCTATTCTATAAGTAACCAACTGAAGGTGAAGGAACTCACTGCAACAAGATTATTTTTTGCCAGTTGTTTAATTTTAATCTATAGCCTGAGTATTTATAGTCCATTTTACAGTTTTTAGTCACTCACATAATAAAAATAAAACGTTACAAAAGGTCAGTGTTAATTAGAATATAAGTTGATGTGACAAGCTATAGGAAGGCATTAGCCTAAAGAAGCTGTGAGTTCTGTGCTTTATAATACTGAAAAAGCTGGTAATTGTTTCTGTTGTAACATGTTAGTCTCAAAAGAAGTGAATTCAAATAAGTCAGATTGAAAAAATCTCACCAAATTCACAAGGCTTGAAATTTGCGATCAAAAGGAAAAACTAAATAATCTTGGTGAAGGGGCATACTAAATGATCGATGGAGGGTTGAAAGGTTGGCAACAGGCCGGCCCGTAGCCAGCGATTTTTTTTTTTAGGGAGGCTTCCGTCAAGGTGGCTGTCAACTTGTTGCACAAACACAGGGCTCGTGTAATTAAGAATTTCTTAGCTTTTTGACGTGAGACTTTACTTTTCCAGTAGAGAAGAACATTAAATTACCAATCAGTGTGACAGACCAACATTTTTTGGCTGCCCGGTTTTCAAAAAAAAAAAAAAAAAGATATATTTATAAAAATAGAAAATAATAATAATAATAATAATAGTAATAATAATGATAATAATAATAAAAACTCAGAACCCTGATGTGAACCGTAAATGAACTGCGACAAAAAGTTGGAAACTTTCGCTCTATACTTTTAACTAAGATTAAATCCAAGTAATCAGGAAAACGTTTCAAGCACTAGTGGACGCACCATCCTCTTCTCCGCCAGCATTCGACTCCTCTTTAGGTTCTACAAGAAACAAGAGGACAGCAATAACAATAATAATAATAATAATAATAATAATAATAATAATAACAATAATAATAATAATAATAATTCCTAGTTTAAAAACATAGCTAAAACATGCTTACCTCCATCGATGTTAAGTTCATCTTCGATAGTGCACGTTTAGGGTTGTTCAGCTCCGCAAATATTCTCCAAATAGCAGATGTCGCCCATCAAGTTGTCTTCTTGCTGTTCTTGCCATGTTTTTAGCTATTATTTTGCCTAGTTCTTACTCTTGAAACGAGTGAAATGTCCGCCATTTTTGTTTTCAAAACCAAAACAATTCAACCTTGTCCCCTGTTCTTCTCGGTTGCATTAACCTGCAAGAACGCTGCACTTTTGACGTCATCGGTTCATAAAACGCAAAATTCTTCCAAATTTGGCCATCAGTAGCTGATTATGGTGAATTATGCGTGTGCTTTTAGCCAGTCAGAATCGGGGAATTATTTTGAATGAATAATAATAATAGTAATTATACAGAGTAAATAGTTTTAATATCTTATACCTAACAAGTGATATTTAGTAGATGCACTGAAAGCTAGCTAGTGTACCCCCCCCTCTCTCTCTCTCTCTCTCTTTCGCTTCATACAAAAGCCATTTTCTCTTTCAATTCTTATATTTATTTGTTTATTTGCTCGCTTAATTTGACTCAATCCTTCTAATTTGCGTCAAAAATAGAAATCATTGGCCATTACAGATTTAGCAATTTCACATCAACTGATTTTGTGGCCGTTGTTGAATCCTCTTAAACACTGTCTGAACGGCTTAACTCTTCCGACCCAAAGTAATGGCTGTAAAGGACAGAAATAGTAAATAATAAAATGTTAGTAGTACTCACCTTCTTTAAAGACAGTCAAGTCCATAAACGGCAGATCATCACAGTCGACTACAGGATTATTGGCGCCGGGTGCGTTTCTATGTACGAAAACCTTCGCATGAATGCGACGCACATCATCGGTATTATCACAGATAACTTTGGCAAGACTCGAGTGTCGTATTTGGTCAAGTTGTTCCATGGTAAACCCGGTCTGGTGATCATCTCTCTCATACCAAAAGCGATCGCCATGACGGAAATCTTTGAATTGCCGACCTACAAGGCATGTAAAGGTGAAACCAAGCGCACTTCCTTGTTGGGCTTTCTCGCTCATGCCGCCAGCAAAAAGATCAATGTCGTGCACCTTTTTGTAAATGCCAGCAGATTTAAGCCTGTTTACTTGAGCACTAGGAATAGTATCAAGGATATCATCAAACCGAACGGCTGGATTTCCCCCGCAAGCTTCTCGGAACTTGACGTAGCCTGGTAAGCCATGATCTCTTCCGCGTATCATGTTGATTGCGGTTAGATCGCCAACAACACCATTAGGAGGTTCTCCTTCAATTATCAGGCGTTCTCTTACTGCGCGAACGAAACGCCTAAAAGGAGAAGAAATAAACAAAAAAATGAAATAAATTAAATGAATCATGAAACGCGATACGTCTTTATTAAGACCCACAAAAATGGATTGCAAAACCCATTTTCAAAAAGGTTTTCATATTGGCCACTTTGAGGTTGCGCTGGAGACTGAGTCGAGATGGTTTCAAAGTGCATTGTGTTACTGCTTTGGGGGACAAATTTTCAACATGGTGGCAAATTCGTCCCCCAAAGCAGTCCCACAATGCACTTTGACAACCATCTCGACCCGGTCTCCCAGCCAACCTCAAAGTGGCGAATAGAGAAATATATAGATAGCTTGATACTTTTATCTTCTTGCACGTGCGCACGTGTGCATTTTCACTTGTTATTGTCTATTGTGAAATTGACCCGGTTCAACGATAAATTTTCTCTTCGTCAGATTCTTGGTTCCAGTTTGTAAAAAAAAAAAAAAGAATGCACGAATATTGTCCGTAATTCTCTTGATTTGCATACTCTTGCATACTAAAGTATGCGGAATTACGTCAGTTGTAGGTCATATAATTGTTGTCAATACAGGATAAGGGCAAAAACCTCAGAGATATTAATTTTTACCACAACGCAGATGAAATGAAAAAAAAGTGATTTCGAAACCGCTGATGAAAAATAATAATAATAACGAAAAATAATATGCAACTCACATATGCATTTGACGCCACAAGAACACGCAACCTAACTGATCGTGCGAGAAGCATTCAGCAAAAAGAAACTATAAGGTACTGGATTTCTAAAATATAATCCAACATTGGCAAATTGCAGATTTTGGGAAATCATTGTATAGTTAATTGTTCTGCCAGAAGAAAAAATATGTCATACAGGGCTAGTGATAGCCTCGATTGCAAGGCATTTCGTGCCACTGGTAGAGAAATTTCAAATTTCATAATGGTGTCTTGTGTTTACTTCATCGTTTAATACTTACAAGGTCCTCTAAAAACGTTGATAAATTCCGCTGTGGCGAACATGCGAACGTACCCAAAAATCCCTGATCAGTGCTAGTTTATTTTCATCAATTATTACGATTAACTGCCTTCATCTTACCGATCAACATTTTGAGCAAAAAATCTTATTAGCCCCAGCAAAATTCCGCCATATGCGTTGTCTCCCGCCTGGTAAAATCGATCTGGGTTAAAGAAGTCTCTGGTTTCCAATATATTAGGTTCATCAAATCCTGCCCTGCCAAAGTTGGTGTCCAAAAGAACGAAAGTATCGCGGATCAAAGAATGACCCATTCTAAGAGCAGCTGTGGAGAAGGCGTTGGTACACTGTGCATCAACTGAAACATTGTATCCTTTGAAGAATTCCCCTTTAGGCTCCAATAAAAGCCCTAGGTTCTTTCTCTGAAAAAGAATTATGGACAGGAATTATGTGGAAGGTCAGTTTCGGTTGTTTTGCATTAACGGCTAAAAGTAAGGTTTAAAATGACACAGGCAGCTGATGCACATGCGCATTTCAAAACATTTCTTAGCTGATTTGCATATCACAAGACACGCCTGAAACAGAAAGTGAGAAGCGCATCCGGAATACTCTACACAAAACACAAAACTTGTAGCGTTAAACTAGTTACAAGCCCAAATCGTAATTATAGACCCTATGCCATATCAGAGCACTCATTTTTGTATATATTATTGGGAATTTACTGATGGATTTGTCCAGGGAAAGCCAAACTTGGACGAATACTTCTGAATTCGATCATCAGTAGAGGTGAAGAATGACACGGAGTCTGCATGAATTATTGTCGAAGGCTCAAGGTCGAGAAAGCTTGATTTTCCAAACACCTGTAGCCTTTTCCATCGATTTTCCAAATATATATAACGGTTATTTGCTCGCCAGTGTCATTGATTCATTTCTTTAGTTATTTTGGTAAACGAAGGCGATTTCTTCCACCCGGCGACTACGCGTTTCCCACCTCTTCTGTTCACGTTCCTTTGGATACTGTTTTTAACCAAATATGATAAAATAATGTCATAGGATGAGTACGTAGAAGTTTGCTCAAAACGAGGTTTTTTGTGAAGATCGAGGATCGAATGAAACTCTATATCTAGGCAAGATTGAAGCGAATTTCTAGATGTATCCGACGGGTACATTTGATTTCGGGTTGAGGCAAAGTAGTGTCAAGGTCAGCGCGGTCTCATTGCTGACTGTGTCCCTTTAGGAGCAGAAAATGTTTACTCCACCAGAGTCATGTCTAACTGAAAATACTTGACTTTAACCTCAATAAGCTTAAAACATTCAAGAAAGACGGTTAAACTTTATAATTAATTGGACAACAGAACCTCCTTATTACTTGAACACTGACTTGAAGTGAGTGTGCTCGTAAATTATGCTGACGATGATTGGAGGTGCAGCCCGGGAATAGCGCAATAATTCTCTGTTACCTCCAACGAAAGTGGCCTGGATTCGAGTTCCATTTAACTCACCAGCATGGCCAAAAAAACGTGAAATCTGGCGAAGTCTCCTAAGGGAACTAAAAGAGGATACGAGACTAAATCCTAAAACCCGCCACTTGAAATCGGCCGTGCTTCGGTTCGGTCACTGAGCAGCGGAAAGATATGTCCAACGATATGTTCAAGATACTATGTTCAACGCAATTTGCCTAGGATCTGTTCAGCCGATGGGATCCTGGAGACGGCTTGATTGTATGAGGTGGGAAAGAGCAAGGACGAATGCGTTTGAGAATGTCACGTGTCGAGACTTGCGAATGATATAATTATGCTGAATATTATGATAAAACTATGCAGCTCAACTGAATAAAAAGCACCGGCAACTTTTCTTAAACAAACACAGATTTTCCAGAAAACGTTCGGAAATTAACTTGAATAAACTTGACTTCCAGAATAATAAAATTGTTGTCGTGCACAAATTTTCCTACCTTAAAAAGTCATTATGAATATTTACCTCAATCGGATTTTGACACCGAACGATACGATATCTGGCAAATCGTTTCTGCTCACATTTGGAAATAAAGTGCTTTTTTGTCAAGTTTTCTTTTTCTGTTTGAATTTTTATTCAGTTCCAAACAAGAGGCAAGAAAGGGATTCGTAGTAAGAAGGGATTCGTACATGAAACTGATTAAAACTAAACAAAAACAATAAGAAAAAGCAAACTAAAAAAAAAAGTGAAAGTCAGTTATTGTAAATTGTTTGTTTGAGTCTTGTGAGGGCCGAGACAATATTGGAATATGGATTCCAAGTACTGGATTTCAGTCTTGTTGTATTCCGGCTTCTACATGTATAAGCAAAAATTTCTCGGATTCCGTAAACCGGAGGCCAAAGGTTTTTGTCCTTGTTCCGAATGCTTGTCTCCGTTTCGTCGTCTCCTTAGTGACTTGCGACAATAAGCCACCGTTGTTGAACCAATTTAGATTATATTTTTGCTTATTTATTTTAGTATTTACTGTTTTATTTAATTTCTTTGCCCCCTCCCTTCCCTAAAATCAGATGTAAGCTATCGCGAATAAATGCTTTCATAAATTAGCAATTATCTCTTACGCATCCATTAGTTCTTACCAGTTCTTCACTTGGGAAAATAACTGCAAGCCACTCATTATAGGTGATGTGTTGAATCTCAGCTCCAACAATCTTACGCGCCTCTTGATATAACCTTTCGTCACCCCAATGGGGATTTAACAAGTGCAGAAAATTCGCTATACGATTGTGCTCACGTACCCAAATTGTATGCATCGCCATCAACGCTGTAAAAAAGGAAAGAAAGTGGAACATTTTCTTTTGTGCAATATATTGAGTTATTGAATAAAAATGAGTTTGAGACACGACTTCTTTGAGTTCTAAGCTCAAAATAATTACTTCGGAAGATAATTATCCCATAGGTACAATACTACACACTGTAGTAAAAAAAAAAATTGCTGATAGCTTTAAGAAATGGCGTTTGCCATAAAACTTTGTCTTAATTGCTCAAATTTGCTTTTAAAACATAAAAGATCTTTTGATTAATTTTAAATATCCGTGGATCCAAAAGGAACATCAATTTTTACAAAAATTATTCTTCAGCTGTTCTTATTGAATTTAATATGTGAATGAATCATATAATCTTGAATTACGGATAAACATATAAAAGTGAACAAATCCCGCGAATTTCGTGTTACACGAAATTACTGATACAGTAGTTGTGAAAGGCTTTTCCAATTGATTTGGTATCCGTTCGCGAAAATTTGTCATCCGTTCGAACGGCTCTAGCTATCCGTTCGAAAAAGAAATGTCATTCCTTCAACTACTCAGGCTATCCGTTCGCACAAAATTGTTATCCGCTCGAAAGGCTTGCGGACGCGCTATCCGTTCGAAGAAAATTGTCATCTAAAGTATTCGACTGGCTCGAGCTATCCCTTCAAAACTATTGTCAGCTGCGCTACTGTTACAAACCACTTTCACCCGAGCCGTTTGCGTCGGACCTGTCAAAAAATGCAAGTTTAAGTAAATCTTATGAGCGTTGTTTACCATCACCTCATGAATTTTCACGGTACATTTTCTGCTTAATAGCCTTCTATACTCTCATAACGTTTGATTTATATCGTTACAAGTTTTATCCACGTCTAAGGCACATTCAACAAATTTCCCGAACAAGTTATTACGTTTTGAACTTTCAAACGCTTTTGGTAGCCGTGCATGGGAATATGATCAATAAACTTTGCCTGTTCAAATACCTATTAAAAGCTTATTGCCAACGGCAGAGATCTGAAAAATAAAAACGGTTCCTTGCATCTTCACAGCGGCTCACAATTTCTGACAATCATAAACTTTAATGGACGTGTATATTTTGTCACTTTCCCTCGGCATCTAATGGAGCCGACTACGCGTTTCTTTCAGGTAAACTTGAGAAATATCAGGACTCATCCACGTCCATGAAAAATCATTTACTGACTTGAAGGCGAACTGTGTAACCATCTGGCAGATGAGGAAACACACAACGCCGACGCGTGTTTTCAGCTGCGAGAAAGCCTAGCAAAGTGTTGACCAATCAGAGCGCGCCACTTATAAAAGCGCGATTTCAAAACAAAAACTAACGACGGCGTTGTAGCAAGTTTTGTTCCTATCCTGACTAACTTCAAGGTTTCAGCTTTATGTTTGTTTTTATGTATTTTTGTTGTTATTAATACGTTTTTGGTCGGCTTTAATGTTCTCTTCGTTTGAACTTGAATAATAAATATAAATAAAAATTAGATAAATAAATAAACTAATCAATTACCGTGATTTTCGTTCACTCGAATATCGCCAGCAAGAAAGCAAGGACTTGCTTCAGTATCTGTTGATCTGCAGAAAGCTTCCTCATCAGCTTCCGGAAGAATCGGTTCGCCATCGGAGTTTATGTAAGGTCTCACATCCAACAATCCCAGCTTTGTTTTTTGGTCTCGAAGCCTCTTTGCCAAAGCTTCATCTGAGCCGTACACTTGTGAAGCATCAATGTAGGCTGTTATCTCGTTTATCTAACACAAAGGATAGTGTCGAGGACTTATAAATTGGAAACATCTAATAGCATTTTCTAAGGAACAGTATCCCGGCTGATTACAAAAGACCAGGCCCAGTTGCTCAATAGGTGGATAACGCTATCCACGGGATTCCCTATTTGTCAGAAACCTCTTCCACTCCTCCCCCTCCCCCACTGATTGGGTAAATTTAGCCCGAAGACCACACCAATTTCCTACCGACCCCCCACCCTTCCCCTGAAGGGCTGAATTTTGCCCTATGATCACACCCAAACTGGACAGTGATGTCTGGACATACGTCTGCGGGGAAACTTTCTAGTAAGTCAGGTTGCAGGTTGTAGGTGCAGCTTCAGTTGCTGGCTGGGAACTCATCCATCAGTCTTGCTGGGAGTGAAGAACAGATAAATGTTTCCCAGCAATCTCCCAAAATACTTAAAATGGCTTCAGAAGACTTTTTTCATGCTTTGTTGTTGTTTTTACGTCTTTTTCTCAAAATGTACCGTTTGGTGACCCTGCCTATCCGTTAGATAGTGATTTATCTGGTGGATAGCTCTATCTAACGTTTGAGCAACCAAGGCCAGGATTGTTCATTGTTTGAAGAAAAGACAATAAAACAACCTACAATTGACCTACAGCTATGACAGACCAGTTAATTACAGCTAATTATGTTTAACTTCAAATCTCAAATTTTCAAAGAGCTACAACTCCTCCACAAAAGAGAATGAGAGAAGGGAGTGAATCCCTGTGCCTCATGATAATCTTATGAAATCTGTTTTTAGCGCACGCCTATGACGCGAAGGTAATTGTTTGTCTGTTGTTCCCATGACCGCACGGTTTGCTTCTACGTGGATCATCAAGGTATCGCAGCTCGCATATTTGCTTGGACGACGTCGTCGTTTTAAACACCTTGCTTATCAACTGTTGTAGACTAATAGCACATACCAAGAACTTGGAATTTTTTTGAAAGGAGCTAGTAGCCCGCTGTGCCTGGCTATTGATCAGTAAAGACGAGCAAAAAAAGCGGGCATTCAAGCAGTGAAAAAGCGAGAGAGCAAAAATAGCAAGAAGTGAGAAGGGGGTGAGCCTGTGAGCATCTTTCTAAATTCCTTAATTAACCCACCTCCCCGTCCACTTCTGAAAACCGTTTCCCGTGTCAAAACGTCAAATATCAAAATTAGCAGTGTAGGAGGGTTCCACACGCTTGCCATGTTTGTTTGACTCTGCACCCCCGCGCAGCCTGGTGATTGACGTAATTGTTGCGCCTCCAACCCCTAACATGTTAACGTTGTCACGTCGAAATTTAACCATTGTGCTAATCTGTTCGGAGTGAATTCGGCAGCAACACCTTGGACAAAAGCCTATTGTTTTGAGGAATTTGATCCGGTACAATAGACCACTTCTTGATACGCAATGCTAAAATAGATGATGCCAGGAGCCCTTCGACGATGACGTCTTAGGGCCTGTATACATGGAGGTGGGGGATCCCAGCAATGTGAGATTAACATTTGGCGGGTCACCCCACCTAACATGTAAACGTGATCAACTTAAAATGAGAACATGAACAGGTGGGTAACCCACCTAAACGGGTTACCTAAACGGGTTACCTCACCTACCTGCCCCCCCCCCCCCCGCCTCCATGTAAACAGGCCCTTATTTCAACCGAGAGGAAGGAGTATCAAACTGAAGGTGATTATTTCTTTAGCGCCCTCGTTGTATGAAAACACACGCGGAATTTAAATGGTGGCTGGAACAGCTCTCATGATGTAGGTTGAAAATGTTACCGGTTTTTTTTTTTCTAGATTTTGCTATTTAGTTAAACTTCCTTTAAACTTCCTTGCTTCATTTCAGAGAATCCTCAATCGGTGAATTCACGCTTTTTTAGCAAAACTCCAAGACAGATATTTCTGTTGGTTTCCGGCCACCACATTTGTGCCCTTCAAAAGGGACACCAGCATGGCGTCTCCATACAAAGCTTTATAGGTTTGGGTAAAACATTTTTCCAAATACCTCGTACAGCCCTGATTTTTTTAGCGAGGCTTTTTGCAGATTGATCATCTTCTATTTCCTAGATTCTGGACTTTCGTTTCGATTTTTAATTTCGATGGCGTGACAGTGAAAACAAAGAATACTTGTCGAATTTTCGCCTGATTAAAAATGCATTTTTTTCTAGGTTTCAGCTTCAAGATTACTTATACATTGTACTCATTATCTGTTTTCTCATTGGCTAGGAGCCTACAGGTAATTTTGGAATTCTGTACTGCAACCTACCTAGCATTGTGTTTTCTTAAGACACATCAAAAGATATGTTTGTTGGCACATCAAGATGTGTGACAAAACACATCTTTCTTGTGAACACAACTGAAAGTGTGTCAAATTTAGCCATGAAACAGGTAATTTTGAGGGATTGTTTGTAACTGCAACCTTTTTGTGTGTTCTTTTGAGGACAAAAATAGGTGTGTTGCAGTAACACACTTTGTTTTAGAGTGTACAGATTGGTTAGTTATCTGCTAGCAGATTGGTGACTAATCTGCAGGTTGCGCGCAATGCATGATTTCCAAGAGCAATGTCAAACTGTATTCCGTGCGATGGTGCGTTTGTCGTCATTTGCTCAAAAACAATCTATAATAATGCAATTATTTGGTTCAGTTTTACTGATATCTGGAATATACAAGGAATCGGTAAGTGTTATCATGACCAGCCTCGGCAGATAACATATACTTACCACGCCCTTGATTATTCCGAATATCACAAAAACCTCATCCAATATAATAAGTTTATTTACTCATTATAGCAACAATCAGTGGTACCAGCATTTCAGGCCGGCGTCTCAGCCAAATAGATTTGGCAAGCAGAATTGTCAAAGTTTGCTCTGTTTCAACGCGATAATTTCAATTAAAATCGTGTTTCAAAGACCTTATTTTAATCATGAGGACTGACGAAATCGTTTGCACAGTCAGTAACAGTGACAGTAACACATAGCTCAATCTTTATCTAGGACTTCGCTTTTGTGCTGTTCAGTATTCCAATCTGATAAACAGAATAATGATTGCATTTGAGGCGGGATTTGAGGCAGCTGCGTCATGAGCGATGCAGATCTCTGTTCATGCACTCTCTTTTAAGATTTATAAAACCAACACCAATACTTAAATTACAGTTGACTCCCGATAACTCGAACCCTCGCTAACTCGATCCTCTTGCTAACTCGAAGCAAAATCGATTCCCCTGGATTTCCGTCATACATTTACTGAAATTTAACCCTGACGGTAACTCGAACCCTCGATAACTCTAACCTCCCGCTAACTCGAAGTAGTTTTTGTTTCCTTCAGATCAGTTCTATATAATTTCAGTAATTTTACCCTCGATAACTCGAACCATGTTTTGAACCCTTTAAAAGTAGGGAAAAAACAGAGTCTACTGGCGTCCCAAACATTGAATTTTGAATTTCCCATTGACGTGTTATTAAGGCATATAGTTTACTACTGGAGGCTTATGTTGTTTGTCAAAAATCTAACTTACTTCTCAAAACAGTAAAACGCATGCTCTATTTAAGCAAGGGTCTGTTATGTTACGTTCTGATTTATAGTCTAGACAAGTATCTTTTAATTTCCATTTGACATGTCTACAATTAAATTTGATTAAAATGTTCACTATGTAGTAAGAACTGTTTTTTTCTTACTCCCGGCTATTTTTTTTTTTCGGGCTCCCGATAACTCGAACCTCTTTCAATGTCCCTTGAAGGTCGAGTTATCGGGAGTCTACTGTAAGTCATTTATCAGCTACTGGCTACGCATACTGTTTTTACTGACAGCTCCCTTATAGCCTACCTGTTCACTGTTTCTTCTAAAGGACCTTCTGAGAGGAATACAATTTGCGCTGGTGTTAAACTCTAATCTCTCGTTAGCATTCAGTTCATCCAGTGAGATTACAATGCATCCTTCCTGGTTAACACACGGTGTTGTGTTATTTCCGCACTCCACATTTGGTGTCAGCTCTGTCAGAGTGACGTCATGATCCATGAATTGACCCCAGGTCATTGTTACGTGAGTAAAATTTGGTCGGATGCCAAATTCGTCACCATTGAAGCCTTGAAATATCCTCCTGCTTACTCGCCTTGTATTTGGAAGGGGATGGCCTGTTACTGATTCGTTGCGAGGTTGCTCTCCAGGTGCGTACTCACTAGGAAGAAAACGCCGCAGCGGAGTGAAAGCAGCTCCTTGGTTTATGCGACACAGATTGTTGCATGTTCCATCAATTGTGCGATATTTATGCTGGAAACATCGCAGCCGGTCCTTGAGGGCGTCGCAGCCATCTGTTAGCTTAAATGCGTCCAACGTTTGTTCAGCGGACATAGCAGAGGACGCTGCTTGGCGCAATTCAAAAGTGGCAATAATCAGAATAATACCCAAAAGAAATCTGAAAACGAAAGAAGGTAGGTTCAGATTTACTATTTTTTTTTCCAGGGGAGGCCTTCTGGTCGTTGTGTCCGTTTATCTTTTTTCAGTTCATTGAATACAGTATAGGTGTTTACAGGAACGAATCCAGGCTTTACTATGGTATAAAGATGGTCCAAACTTTTTTAGGACAGTGCGAGCCAGCGAAACATGTCAGGAATAGGAAAAAATTACGAAAAAAATCAAAATACAGTAATACAGGAACGCTGTGGCTATGTGGCCAGTAACCGGTCAAGGTTTTCAAAACACTAAAGGAACGGCAGTCCTATATTCTCAGTACATTTCACAAATCGAAAAAATCCAGCTAAACCAAACCATCATATATTGATTGAGAAAAGTCAAGCGATCCTGAAATGCTTTATCTCTGAGCAAAAACAGCCTTTGGTTTACGCTGGGCTCAGAAAGCGAAACCATGTTTTGTGACATTTTAGCTTGACTGCCTGTCAAGGTGTTGAAAACACTAAATGACACGTGAAATTTACCGAGAATATACAAGACTGGTGGTCATTTAGTCAGGAGCACCCGACGAAGGTTTCCTCCTAAATACACTGAAAACTCCTTTTAGGTTACTCAGAGTACTTTTAGATCTTTAGAAATGCATTCTATTTCGGCGCTATAAAATTTGTAGCTGTTCGGTCAATCCTAGGGTCACTAGAGTCTTTTCGAAATTACAAGGGCTTCAGTATTATTTTCCCGAAAATTTTAGATCCAATTTAACGTTTTACGAAAGTGAGATTTTTCTTAATCCTCTCTCTCTCTAACATTTTGGACTCCGAAAATCTTAGGTTTCCTTTTTCTACGAAAATTACCCCAATAGGGAGTAAAACGTGAGAAATTAAACTTCAGAAAATCGTGGGAAGTTATTAGATAAGCTTCAAAAATTGTACCTGGATGGAACGGTCATCTAGAAATTTTTAGTCGTCTTCAAGCAAAAGAAAATTCTAGGCAATATTTCCATCTCCGAACAGATAATTCACAGAAAACAGTCGTTGGGTGCCCTGTTTAGTGTTTTCAACACCTTGACCGGTTACCGGCCATATAGCCACAGCGATACAGAACGTGACATTAACTGAATGCTAACCGTTACGAATAAGTGTTTAACCTTAGCCAGCGCTTAACCTTAAATGAAATTTGACCAAGACTGCTAAATTCTGCAAATATTATTTTAGCTACAGCAACTAACTTACATCAGTACCCATAGGAAACTAAGCAGGAAACATTTTTTATTTAAGACTTCATTCTTCCCATGGCTCGCACGAGTCGCATGGCTTGCTGACGCATGGCTCGCTGGCACGCAGATTTTCCAGACCCATAAAATCAGCGAACACTTATAAAACTGTTCAACAGTGATATCCCTCAGTCCGCTTTGAGGGGGTTACACATTACATTATACTGAAAACAGTGTATTGTGGGCCACAGTAATTTACCACCAGGTGGGTCTCCAGTGCCCAGCAAGGGACGGCTAGCTGTGCGAGGAAGGTTGCTGCGCTATATAATTGATATAAGGACGGATCCACTTTCTTTATCTAAAGGGACCGAAGTATCAGTGCCGTGTCTTCAATGCTTTTGTAGCTGTTTTAAAAGATATAATCCGAGTGAAAAAAAAGGACGTATTAAGTATTATACAAAATATTTATAAAATTTTTTAATTCCCCTTGCGAAGTGCAGGATTAAGCAATTAACACTTTGATGCGGTCACTTGCCTTGTTCCTCATGAATTTAAGGCCTTAATAACAATAAACATTGCAACTTCTTCTTTTCACGTTGCAAACCTGTTTCTTGCTGAATTTGGCAAATTTGACTGTTTTACGTGGATAAAGGCCAATTTGAAACAAATTTTGGTAACTTTCTTAAACCCTGTTACGACTGCCGGTGAGTAGCAAAAAAGAAAACGCATTTTTTCATCAATTCGTCTTCTTTTGACTGGTTTTCGGCTAGTATAGTTAGCATAAGAATGGCTAAAAATGAGTTTTGCAAGAAAAAAAGGCATACTTTCCGACTAAACTGACGTAATTAAACAGTGTTTTTGTTATTCACGCACGCGCAAAAGCCAAAATTTGGATGTGTTTTTTTGTTTTGTTATACGAATCTATTTCGATCTTTCTCTCTCGCTCTCTATTTTACCTTTGCCTTTTTTTCTTTATTTGCGGTTTTGTTGCCCACTTTATCGTCCTTCTTTTCCATGGAATTGTGGCTGACTAACTTTTTAGGAAAGGGACAAATTTAATTTCAAAGACTAGTATGTAAACAGCGAAATTGACAGTGGATTTTTCCCCAAAATGTTACCTTTTTAGTGAGCGTAACTCTGTCAGGATTGGTCAGAATATCCAAAACGAGGTATCGCTGGAAAGATCTATCTTTGGTGACGTTATTGCTTACCAATTTATTTACTAAAACTGAAAGCTAAATGGGTCCATATGGGGACGAAAGCGACCCTAGCCGTGCGAATAGGGTTAAATTCCATTTTTTACCGGCACCGGCCTATTTAGATTCCTGGGCTTCGGTAAACTTTCCATGCTTTCCCACAGTCAAGTATTTTATCACATCGAGGAAGAGTTATTAATATGTTATAATTTATATATATATTTCAATACTTTCAAATTCTTCCTTTTCAAATTCTTCGGTTTAAGAAGTCTTCATAGTTTCGAGGAGACTCAAAGAAGCATTCTTTGAAGAAAACATGAACACGTCTACTACAGTCTCATGGCCGACATTTTGTTTAACTTAATCAGGCAAAATTGCGCTGGAAATTCATGCTATTTAATTTATTCTTGCTATCACGACCCTTAAAAAAAACAAAAAAAAACAAAACGAAACATAAACGGGAAAAAAATGACCTCTTGCAGTGTTCTGATAAAACTGAAAAATTACGTAAATGTAGTTACCTTGAGAAACACATCCTATTTTCCACGTTTTGCAGCATCGACCTCTATATTTGCCTGCACAAAAGCTGAAAAAAAGAATGGTGCTTTGATTACTACTCACTCGACGAACTCTGTATTCTAAGAGATTTTACGATCGTTTGATCTTAAAAAAAATATAAATTTATCGATCAAAAATGAACTTACGAATTGCTTTTATTTTTTAAATGATAATAAATTGCTGTTAATATTATTATTATTAATCATTGAATTTAAAAAAAAGTCTTGTCTCGAGTGGATTTTCATGTCATCAATTTTGTGATATTTCAAGAATTATTAAAATGTGGCGTGTGCCCATGAAAAAGGAACATCTTGCACATTGAACAAGTCATGAAATATGCTCCCGTCCTAAACGAAAATCAGATTACTTATCGCATGATGCTCAAGTTAGTCTTTCATTTTGTAGTTTTGTACAGATTAGTTACAAAATACCTGTTTCGTGAATTCGATCGAAGACTTGATACTCGAAAACTTGCCAACAGCCTTATTACTGGATCAGTAACGTACTGCTTTCTACAATTCCGTCAGATGGCTAGTACGTAATGTTGCAAGCTCTTTTTATGCCACATTCGGAGTCATTACCTCAAACAATGCCCTCCAAATTGATTGCTTAATAGCAAAAGCCGATATAGCAACTGATAAAGACACTTTTCGACACACATTGTTCTCACTAAGTGAACCTCAAAGCGGTCCCGGCATACGCGAGAGGCAATATCCTAGTCCAATATTTAATTAGGTTGTTTAGCTACAAACGTAATAATACCGACGACGGGTGTTTAAAGCAGGGTTGAAGAAAATAAAAATATAGCCGACAGCAGATATAGCAGATGACGTATTGAGTTCTCTTATGCGGAAAGGGTAATGAAATGTGTTCTGTCATCTTGTCTTATCGACAATCCAGATTGCAGCAAGTACTTGTACTGAATGGTCCCCTTTTCATACCGGAGGTTTATCTTTTCAAGTTTAAGTTTACCTTGCTACATGATCTAAATTGTGGCATTAAGTTTGTTTGTTTGTCCTGTTTTCTTTGGTTTTCCGTTTCCTTTTTTAGACTTTTTCCCTTTCTTTTATAAACCACGTATACGGATGATCGCCGTTCATGATACATTTCAGTAAATAAATGACAATATCTACCAGGGGATATAGAAAGTACATTTAATAAAAAATGGTTACCAAGGTAAAGAAATCTAACTATAATTGCTACTTTTCTCCCAGATAAGTAATGACCTAAAAAATCGTCTGACATAACCCAGTTTTACTTTTGATTACAGCTGTAAACAAAGAAACAGTCACAGAAAACCGCCGTACGGATAAACGAACCGTATCATCTGCCGTGATGCCGATTCGAGAAAGGGCTAATATCTGGTTTTAAATCCCATTGATTAAGTTTGTTTGTTAGGTCTGCTTTATTTCCATAGTCACCAATGACGTTATTACAACAATTTAATATATGGGCCTACTGCATTTTTTTTCCCGTTACCATCTCGCTGCTGGAAAATCTTAATTCACCAGGTCTTTCAAAATTAATACATCTTATACATGTATACCAGGATGAAAAACCGGGTTAGCAAAACAATCAACCCATCTTACTACTTGGCAATTTAAAACAATGAAAAATCATTCAAAGACCGATTAAGCCTTTATCTGACACCAGATAGTAGGTTCTAATTAGTGGTTCCCAGTAGAATTTCATCAAGTCCAAATTTAAAATGACGCAAATTTTGGACATTGATTCTAATCAGCAATCTGACTCCGTGACGTTTCAAACCGGTGTCATCATTTTAGACTAGAAATTTTGAAATTGAGTTGAGTTTAAATAGCTAGTTAAACTCTACTGTTTTCTAGGACCGATAGATGAGAGGATTTCGCATGGAATAGAGAGGGTGTGAATGAGGGGGGGGCGGAGGGTCCACATGTCGGTTGTCGGTAAATGTCGGTTAATGATTATCAAAACAAGTTAATTATTCATAATCGTTATTTAATTCACACAGTTTGTATTTGTATTATCGTCACTTCATCCTTTGATTGCAATGGAACCTCATCGAGAAAATCACCAATCATTCTACTTTGAAT